TAAATGATTCTTAACAAACTTATGAATAGTTTAGTCTTTATTAGACATCTTGTGCTACTGTAAGGAGCAGAGGTGAATCGGAATTCCGGTTTCCGACGTTTTTTCATTCCGATTTCCGAAATTTTGTAAAAACTTTGGATAATTTTTGAAGCATATTTCTGACTGAAGATTTTTCCATTCTTAATATTTTCGCCTGCGGCGCTAATAGGAGGAATCCCTGATCTACTAAATAACAATTCCAGTTATGGAATTTAATTAAAATTACTTTTGATTATTCATCTTTGGTTATACATTTGAAAACATTTAATATACCTATTTACATAAATTATCATAATTATATCCAAAAAACGGTCAAGCTAATTTTTATGCCCTAAATTTTTATTTTTACACCAAGGCTTTGATTTTATTACAAATATAAACAATCATAAAATTACATCAACCTTGTTTGTGTTAAGTTCTCACTTCAAGTCCCTAACAAAAACTACAACACTTTAGAACAAGTCAAGAATTCAGTTTATCCGAATACCTTACTCCCAGCTTTTTTCCTTATTTTAACACAAAGTCAAACGTTTATTTCGACCCTATGATATAAACAAAACAAAAAACACAAATACATATTTACATAATCACAACTATATACAGTCGTGGAAAAAAGTATGGAAGCGCTAGAAAATTTTTTCTTAATTCTTAATTTTTCATTCAAAAAATACGTTCTATATACCAATCGAAAGCTCTATTCGTATCTCAGTTGACATGTTTCTGCATTTTTCATGAAAATGAAAATTGGCCGAGATAATCCGGATCTACCGGATATACCAAATCCCACTTTTTCGGAAAAAATTTTCGGAACAAATTTAACAAACCCAAATGATAAAGCATATTTTTCTGAGTATTTTCCACAAAACCGCTAAGAAATATCTATTTCTAGAGCAGAGATATGATTTTTTGAAAATCGCATTTTTCGTCTATTTTTGCAAAAAATTCAATTTTTAAGGGAAAAATGCCATTTTCAAAAAATCATATCTCTGCTCTGGAAAAAGATATTTCTTAGCGGTTTTGTGGAAAATACTCAGAAAAATATGCTTTATCATTTGGGTTTGTTAAATTTGTTCCGAAAATTTTTTCCGAAAAAGTGGGATTTGGTATATCCGGTAGATCCGGATTATCTCGGCCAATTTTCATTTTCATGAAAAATGCAGAAACATGTCAACTGAGATACGAATAGAGCTTTCGATTGGTATATAGAACGTATTTTTTGAATGAAAAATTAAGAATTAAGAAAAAATTTTCTAGCGCTTCCATACTTTTTTCCACGACTGTATATACAATTATGAGGTCAACATACAAATACAAGCGAATACACAAGCAAAATACAACAATGAATATACAGGAACATATCACTATATCACAGCAGAACATTCCTCTGTCCCAACTAACGCTTAGTCTGCTTATAGATGCGCTTAGATATGGCCTGAATCAGTTTGTCAATTGCTTCCGTGTCCACTTTGAACCTGCCCGCATCAGCCTTGTTCTTCGCGTACCTGTGAAGGAAAATTGAAATTTTAAGAAATTTGCAAGGTGTGCCTTTAGTATCCCTTACCGGAGAAAGACGCTGTAGATGTACAGGTACTGATCCAGGGTTTGCACACTGCCTGCCCGTTGACGACGCAAATCTGCCACCAATTCGTAGAAGTCCAGACGCTGCCCAGAGCGCAGTGTGTTCTGAGCCAAGTAGATCATGACGATAGTCCCGGTCCTGCCAATACCTAAAAGCCAGAAAAATTGGTCAGAAATTAATTTTTTTTATTGTGGTCATTCACCTGCCGAACAGTGGACGACTATTGGCTTGTATTTCCCGATGTAGAAGAGCAGTCGTAGCGCCGCAAGATGGTTCATAGGCACTCCACGATCGGGCCAACGTCTCCAATGGAAGTGACGAACATTCGCTTGCCGCTTTGGATTGTCGCTGGTGACCTGCAGGCGTGTCCGAATAAGATGGTTGTCGTCCAGTGCCTCCGTGTCCACGAACCGAACTCTTATGTTGCCGTCCCGACTGGTGATTGCCTGTAAAAAACAAAAGCATTAAATTTATGCCTCAATCTACAGAGAAGCTAACCGATTCTGGTGTATTATCCTTAGGCCAGTACTGGTGACACTTGGGACGATTGAGCTCAACGGTGTCACATAACATCACAACCGCCTCAACTTTCTCCTGCAGAACCATTTCCCAGAAGTCGCCAACTGTCTGCGGAAGAGGGCCCTGCGTGCAGATGTATCGCCGATCACCTGAAAAAGAGTTTTGCTTTGTTTTAAACATACCAAATTCCACCTTGGCTATCAATCCAGTTGGCGTGTATGTAGCGTCCGTTTGTCAGAGCGACCCGGTTGTTCTCGACGCAGATGACATCTCGATAACGGTTCAGGGTTGGATTGCTACAAAAATGAAATTAGTGAGCGTTAAAAACAACTTAGCTAGAAAAAATCACCGTGCAAATTCCTCAGATGGTTCCGGTCGCGGTTGGCTCTGAAGACGCTCGAACTCAGATTCCAGATCCGTCAGCTGTTTCCTCGAAGTCTCCTGGGCCCAGGCCTGAAGCTGCTCAATGAACGCTGCGTCTTCGTTGCTGTCCTCGACGGTTTTAGGTCTGTCGGGTGGTGGTCTTCCCTGTTGTCGAGTAGTACCTGCACGGCTCTGTGGACGTCGTCGTTCGCTGCTGCCTCGCTGCCCAGCCGATTGACGAGTTGTCCTTGGGGTGCTTCCGGAAGATGAGCGTCCTCTTGGAGTGTCTCCTCGGGCGGCAGTGACGATGTTGCGGTTGTTGCGGCTGGTCATGTAGTGTAGACGAGCGAAGTTTAGAAGAATGGAAGTCGGTTGAGTTGAATGTTGGTTGGGGTTACGTTTTGAGGCTGGCTTTTATAGCATTCGCTGGAAAGAATAATGTGTAGTGTATAAAAGCCAGTGTTAGTCTAGTTGGAGCATGCTAGTCCGCTAGTCCCGAATCTCTTTCGTCTTTTCAAGCCCGGTCCAGTTTTGCGTATATTGTGTTTTCTGCCCTGCATAAACTGTAAATTATTCTTAAAATATGCTTTAAATTATTCTAAATGTACCAAATATGCATTCCATTTTTTGTAATTTTTAAATATTTTTTTATATAAAAATCAAGTTAACAAAAGTGTCATTTTTAAATAAATTAGATGATTCTGAACAAACTTATGAATAGTTTAGTCTTTATTAAACATCAACAGATATGGTTTAGATGTATTAAGGAAAAAGGAGAATTTTGATTAAAATTATTTTTGATTGGTTATAAATATTTGAAAACATTTAATATATTTATTTAAATTAATTATTTTAAAATTATTTATGGACAAATAAAATTTTTAAATGTTAACATTTCTTTCCATTCTTGACAAACATTTTTAATTATTTCATTATTAAATCCTTCATTATTAATCATTTCATCATTATCATTATTATTCTCTTCTTTTTTAATTTCAAAATTATAAATAAAATTCCTTCAAAAAAATATATATTTTTTAAGCCTTTCAAATTTTCCTTACCAAAATTTCAGACTAAAAACATAAAAATTTCTTTTTGGAATATCAAATCCATTAAATTTACTAGCAGCAACACTTGTGTATGCCCCCATATTTTTATAAAATAACCAATCCCCAATTTCCATTTTTGGCATTTTTGTATTTTCTTCAATTTGGTCTAAGCCGTCCTTCAAAAATTAATTTTTTATTTACTCTTTTTTAATTAAAAATTTACACAAGTTTGTCCCCAAATAATTGTTGGAATTAAATTTAAATTATCATACTCTTCCTCTTTTTGAAATAAAGGTTTGCCTAAAGGATGGAAATGATCAAAGAGAATACAATTGAAAGAGCCGTAAACACTTTCATTTAAATATAACCTTTTTAATTTAAAAAATTAAAATAAATTTCTCTCAAAAATCTACATTTGTCCTTCTTTATTTAAATCTTTTATTCTTTTGGTTACTCTATATGCAGATACTTTAGTAACAGAAATTAAATTTGTACAGAGAGAAACAAGGGAAGATGCAAAATAACGGCCCTTAAAAAAATTAAAATAAAATTTAAATTTTATCTTTTACCGGTTCAGCAATTATTTCAATATTATTGTTAGAAGGAAAATATTCATTTAAAGAATTTTGTATAATCTTTACAATCTGGAAAATATTTAAAATTATAAAGGAATTATATCTTTGGTGTAATTTAAAACTCAAAAAAATATCTACCAAGGATGTCTCGGGTTGAGAAAAAAGTCGGGTCGTGTCGAAAAAAGACAGGGTTTCAGCTAACCTGAGACATCCCTGGTATCTACATATATCAACCATCGGATATTTAAAAATTTACCTCAAAAAACGTTATTTGTTCATTATCTTGTCCAGGAAACCCCCCACCAATATCCAATAAATTCATTGAATGTCCCTCCAAAATTCCAAAATCAAAAAGTTTTTTACAAGCACAAATAGCCAAATTAAAAGCTTTTGGATCTCTACAACCACTTCCAACATGAAAAGAAATTCCAATAATTTTTAACTTCATTTGACTAGCTTTTTTAATTAAATTAGGGCCTTCAATTAAAGGATCACAACCAAATTTTGTAGCTAATGGACATTGAGCTGTTGGATCAGAAACAGAAATACGTAAAATAAGTCTTAAAAATATTTAAAATTAATTTAAATAAATTTCCAACTCTGGTGAAGAATGATTTTCTTTTATTTTTATCAATTCCTCTAAACTATCAAAAGTCATTCGACGAACACCTAAAAATAATTATTAAAATTACTATTCTCATACTATTTTTAAATCCAAAAAGCTTTATTAAAGGAACATCAAACTATATTAAATACGTCCGGGATTAAAAACTGTGAACGAAGTTATAATTCCGCGACGGCTTCTAATAATTATCAGAATTTATCAAAAAATGGATTTCTCATTAATTTGTATTTGGGCTATTTGGGGGAAAGGAGTTAATATTTAAGTCTCTTTAATCTACCAAGTTTGTCAGCATGTTGAATATATTTACGTGTTTTGCATGGATTTGCATAAATAATATTATCAGCATTTGTTAATCCATTTGTGATTATCTTTAAAGAATTTTTTAAAATAAAACATTAAATATTTATTTACTTGATCAATTTCCCCTCTACTAGCACAATCAAAACCTTTTTAAAAAATTAAATATTTTTAAATATTTAAATTAAAAACTAACCACATCCAAGGTCAGCCAATAATTTCAAAAGTATTGGATCATTATTGCATTTAACAGCATAAAATGGCTAAAAAATATTTTGGAATTTTTTAGATTATTGGGGTAACCTTTATACGAGGTAACATTTCTCTCCATTGTAATAATCGTTGAACTACTACATCCAAATTATATATAGAAAATGCATCGTCTATTTTCTGATAGAGATAAAAATAATTTAAAAAAGGGGGCTTTAATACAAAATCCCGGTTTGTCTTACTTAAAAGTCCCCCCCCCTCTATATTGTTTCCAAACATCCATTCTCATGTCCGATAAAAAGAGATATCACCTCCCCCCCAGCCTCCCAAAAAATATTTAGTACTTTTTCATTTAATTTCGTAGCTATATTTTTAGCAATAGCTAAAGAAGCAATTTCCCCATCACTTTCAAATAATGACTGTTCATAAATTCCAATTTCCTTTCCAGCAAAAATTCCAAATTTAACAGGTTCAAAAGCTCCAATCATTTTTATCAAAAAATCCAAGGAGGACCGCCCAAGCAGAGCCGGCAGTGTTTGCCTAAGCTTCTGCGGCGAATCGAAACGAGTAAATTATTTGAGCCGATTTTGATATCGGCTATTCCCCGTCTGTTTTTATGTAAAACCCGCACACAAGTCGACAGTGGAGGACTTGCGAGGGCAAAAATTTAAATTTAAAAAATCTGAAAATTAATTGAATTTTAATTTAAAAACAAAAAAATATTTTTAATTAAACAAAAATACAGCCAGAGATTGGCTAGACAAAATCAAATATTTAATAAATATCAATTTTTAGAATTATAGGGGTTTTTCTAAGAACGGAGAAAGTTCAATTTTAAGAGTCAAATATTTATTATTAATTTCAAAATTTTTGATATTTATATTTTAACTTTAAATATATATTTATATTTTCTTCTGATAAAAATAAAATAAAAATATTTATCAAATAGATAGGGGGATGATAAGAAAAAGTTGAAGGTAAAAAAGAATAAAAATTATAGATATTTTGGGGGATTCCTTTCTCTTCGTTTATCATTATGAAATAAAATATAGAAAATATTAAACACACAAAAAAAGAAAAAGAATGATGACAAATATTTAAAAAAATTGTTTGTCTAATAAACAAAAAATATCTATAGAAAATACTCTAATTTTTCTAAACTTTTAATCTTCAAATTAAAGTCGAGCTTAGATTGTTTTGATTAAATTTTAAAAATAAAATAATTAAATAAAAATATTTTTTTGTGTCTTTTAGATAATTTTTTAAATTAATATTTTGAAAAAAAGTAATATTTTATTTTCTGAATTTTTAATTAAAGTAAAAAAATATTTAAGAGATTAATTTTATAGATTACTATTCATAAAACAAATAAAAAAACTAAATCACAAGTTACAAACTATTATGTTTTAATGTACTTGGAAAATAAAACAAAAAACAGAAATAGAAATTGGACTGAAAATACTGGTTGTTGAAATTTAAAAAAATTAAATTAAAAATTGTGATGGAAATTTTTAAAATTATTAGTTAATGATTTTTAATGCTAGAAATAAAAAAAGAGGAGAAAGAGGGAGAGAAATAATTACGTATTTAGTCTGCTTAAGTTGACAATATTTTACCCAATATTTACTTTTCTAATTTAGAAAAGCAAATAATGAATCACTTGAAAAACTTTTTTTTATTAATTTGTAGTTTGTTTTAGATTTTATTTTAATTTTTTTTGGAGATTTATAAAAAAATTATTAAATTTTAATTTATTAATCAAAGAATGTTTGACAATAAAAAATACCACCAGTGTGGCATTTTAAATTTTTAAAGTTAAATGGTTAATAATTTGTTTGTCAAATAATTTTCCTTTAAAATTAATTAATTTTATTAAATTAAAATTAAAAAGAATAATAAATAATTGGATTATCATTAAAATTTTTCCTTTTAGAAAACCCCAAAACCATACAAATTGAATCTAAATTAAATAATTTAATCATTTGGCCATTTGGAGACTAAAAAATATTTTTAAAAAATTTTTATTTAAATTTAATTTTTAATTTCCCACCTCAACATATAAACAAAGAGAACATTTTGTATTATTAACATTAGACATTTCTTTAGAAGGAAGAATATCAGAATTAATTAATTTTGTATGAAGATCACCAACTTAAAAAATAATTTGTAAATGTTAAATAGTTTAACTCCCAAAGATTCTCTTAAAAATCGGAGGTTCGGGTTTGTGAGAAAGAGGGACTCATAAAGTCCTAAATGGAATCTAGGTCAGACGAACGGGGTCAAAAAGCTTGTATACAATTAAAAAAGTTTTTCAGAGAGAATGAAAAAAGGAGATTAGTCTTACAAATTCTCAAAATTTTCGCCTGCGGCGCTAAAAAAGAATCTTTGAAGACTTTGTGTGAAATCGAAGACCTGCGGCCTGAAAAAGAAGATCAAGAAGGGCTTGAGTGAAATATAGGCGGATTTTTATTAGAGAAGATTTCGGAGGATATACTAGGATTATGGGGGAATTGACTAGATAACAAGGAATTTGCATTGATGAATAGAGATCAATGGATTTGAGAGATTTTGATGTATAGGAGGATTATGGTGAATAGAAGATTAAGCTGGATATAATATAATTTTGAGTAAGGGTATATGAAGGGATGATAACTCTGTTAATCCCCAAATCCATTCATAATTTCTCCCAATCCCATTATATCCCTCCAATTGACTCAACTTTTAGTGTTTCCAGTTTTTTCTGTTTTTAAGAATGTGAAAACTGATGAAATAAACAGAATGAAGGTCAAATTACTTAAGTCACTTGTCTCGATTAAAATTAATTCTTATTTTAGTTATACCCAGGCGCATGATCTCATTATTTATAAACCAAATTTACTTAATTTAGTTCAAAATTGTGAAAAATATGCGGAATCAAGCTTTTTATTATTTTTTAAAATTATTTTCGAAGTGTTTTAAACAATGCCCTATTTTTTGCCCTATTTTTGACCATTTTCGCCCTATTTTTGCCACATTTTTGAGTGGCTGCGCCCTATTTTAGTAGTTTGGAAAGGGTCACCCTGATTTAAAATAAACTTGCCAGTAGCTAAATGAGGCAAATGAACACGATAATATTGTTGTGAATTAATTAATAAAGGCTTTAAATAAATTGTAACATTTCCCAAAGGTAAAGTATTTTTAACATATTCTTTTAAATAAATATCCATTTCCGGTAATAATTTAATATTTTCTTTGATATTTTTATTTTTTGGAATATTTTCTTCTTCTTCAAATTTTTGACGTTTATTTTTTACAAAATTATTTTCATTTTCAAAGTCTGATGAAGAATTAAATGAAGAACTTTTACTAAAATTAAAAAATTATTATTTAAAATATAAAAAATATTTTTTTGTGTTTTTAAAATTAGTGTGGTTTAAATTTAAATAACTGAAATGCTCAAATAATTACCCCCTCTCTTTGCTAACTACCACCTCAAAATATCAAAACATTTTAATAAAAATATTAAAGAAAAATCAACTTTGTTGTCAATTTCATTCATCCAAATCCAGACCTATTCCCTAATAATTACCCCTCTAAGGATTGAAACAATAATTACCCTGGGAATAATTTCAATATTTACAGCATATCTCTTAAAATCCAGTAATTTACATTTTTCTCAAAATTTAATCAAAAATACAAAAAAATACATTCAATTTTTTCAAGATTATTTAAATCGACAATAATCTCGAAAAACAGTCAAAACTTTAAATAATTAAAAATTATTTCCTACTCAAAATCATTTAATTCATCATCATCAGAGCTGGAAAAGTCATATTCTTCCTTTTCATCATTGCTGGGAAAATCATTTTCAGAAGATGAAAAATCATCAATATTGTCATCATTTTCAACATTTAAATCTCTAATTTTTGTTGGAGACTAAAAAAGAAAGATTTCTTTGTTCTCTTTAACCTTTTAATTACCTCACAAGTACTTTCCATCAAAATATTGTGAATTTTTTCATAAATATTACGATCGGGCCAAATTGTGTCGATAAGTAAATCAATATTTGGATCTGAACGAAGATTTCTTTTTGAGACAATTTTCCTTCGACAAGTTGGACATTGACGCTGTGAAATTTTGATTTTATTTTTAAATTTTGAAATAATTAGATACATTTGTTTTGTAAATAGAATTTTTAATACAATCAGCACAAAATCGATGAAGACATTCCTGTAAAAATTTTAAATAAACATATTTCTCTAGAAAATAATTTAGAAATCAGAATAGTATGTATTTAATTAATATAAATTTAAAATTGTGATTTTTAATTTTACCTTAATATTTATGAAATGACTGATCAAAAGAAAAGGGGAATGTATAAGGAATGTTGCTTATTACACTTTCAGTCGAATCTTTGACTATCATGCGCAAAAAACACCTCCCTCCCCCCACTAATGACGATTTAGGCCTGTTAGACAAATAAAAAAAACTCACCGTAACACTTGTATTTCTCAAAAGATCCAGGCAAATAGGACAAGTCAGACTCGGGCCTAATTTCTTCACCAAGACAGGCATTTTAATCCCTCCACTATTGACAAGTTGTTTATGTGGAGAACGAACCTGAAAAACAATGAAAAGCAAAAATCATTAAAATTATAAATACTTCATCATAATTGGTCCCTTCATTATTGTAAGAATTAAAATCAGGATTTATTATGTCATTTTCGCATTCCATCGTTTCTAAGAATCTATGAAGATATAAAAAGTAAATATGTAAAATCAAGAAAAGAAAATTAAAAACTTTGAATAAAATCAAATAAAATATTTAAATTGGCAAATATTTGGCAAAATGTAAAAAATAGAAATTTAAGAGAACGTTTCAGTCCCGACGTTACAGTCCTGATTTTAATTCATAATATCTTTGAAAACTCTGAATGTGAGGATTATTTTACTCAAAAGGTGTGAGGTGGTTTGATCATTTTTAAAGATTTTAACCGGGTAAGTGCACGCAATCGTGATCTTCATCTCACACCCGATTGTAGCTTTTTTGTATTTTTTTTGTTTTTCCTAGTTTTTTGCTAATTTTGTTTTATTTCTTTTAAAATTTATTTTTTAGTTGGATTTAAAATGATTTCTGAAGATTCAATTATTCGTGATGGTGATTACTCTATTCTTCAAAAAGTTGGAGGTGAACAACTTCGACCTTGTCGTCTTTTAAGTGGACAGCGTGCACTTATTGAAAAGCTTAGTTTTGACCCGACAATTGCTTTTGGAAAGCCGTTTGGAATTTTTGAGGTTTTTTTGTAAAAGAATTTTCTAATTTTGGAAGTTGTAATATTTTTAAAAATTTTGTCAGAATTTTTAATTTTTCAAGATAAAATTATAATTTTTTTCTTTCAGGTTTGCTCTAATGGCAAAACATCGACTGATTTGAGCCAAAACGAATCTTCCAGTGACATTTATCAAATTGAACATCGTGAATCAAAACTACAACAAAATGATAATATTGGTTTAGATTCTTCTGTTAACGGTTTTGTTTATTTTTATAGTACTTCCATGTATATTTAAGTCCTTCCTAGGGAGATAGGATACTCGATACTCCCGCCCATAATTTTTCTTGTTTTGAAGAGGATTTTTGCTTAACAAAAATTTATAAAATTTTCTCTTTAATCTATCAATTTTTAAACAAATAAATATTCTGCGTTTATCAAATGAAAAAAAATAAATATGTGTATTTAGATCAAAAACAAATAATGACTGCCGATGATATTGCAAAACTAAAAGCTGAGGGATTATCAACTGAAAATTTGGTTTTTATTTATTTTTTTAATTTTTAACTTGTTTAGGTATCAAAACTTGTCAATGGAAATTCTTCTTTCAAAGATCGTTCACAATTTTCAAAAGAAAAATATGTCCGTAAAATGACTAAAAAACATTCGGTAAAATTATTTTTTGATTGAAATTTTTTTCATTTTGACAGGGAAAAGTAATGATTTCTCGTCCAAACATTCGTCTTCTTTGTCAATCCTATTTTTATAAAGATCCAGAACGATTAGCACATTTGAGGTTTTTTGTATAAATTGTAAAATTTAAAGTAAAAAACTGCTTTTTGAAGATTGGATCAACTGGCCCTTCTTGTTCAATTTTTAAATATACATTCGTGTGGATGTAATATATTTGTATATGAAAATGTAAGAATATTTTTTTAATTGTTTTAAAATGAACTTGGAAAAATGCTTGAATTAAGAAAGATTTAAAAACCAATTTTCGCTACTACTAGCCTGTAGAAAAAAAGATTTTTTACAACAAAATTTTTTTTACAAAGATCTGGTCCCTACTGTCTCCTTGTGAAAATTTTTATAAATCCATTTAAAATTTCAGACATTGGGTTTGTTGGGTGCTGCAGTAATGGAAAGACTAGATAATCAAGGCAATTGTATTTTTCTACATCGTGGGGATTGGCCCCAATCAATTCCCTGTATTGATGCAATGAATAATCGTGTATATTTAAATATTTTAAATAATTTTTAAATTAAATTTATATTAGAATCAAAACAATTTTCTTCCTTTGCGAATAACTACACTTTTACAACCAGATCTTCTTAAAGACGAGGAAGAAGCTGATCAACAAAAAATTCAACGTCGGCAAAATTTAACTTCTCAAGAAGAAATGCAAAATAACGTTAATTTTTAACCAATATAAATATATAAACCCTGTAATCGAGAGAATATTTATTCTAAATTTTTAACTCTTTTTTTAATTTTGCCTGATTATGGTAATAATAAGCTCATTTTAAATTATTTCCATTTTTCTGGAATTATTTCTTTAAACTGGAAAATTTTCGTTAACCTATTTAATTAAAACTGTCAATTACATATAATTTTTTTATTAAGTCAACAATTAATTGTGATGAAGAAGAAGATACTTCTTTACAAAATATGCTTGAAAGGAGAGTTAAACGACGGGAAAAAGAGAAACGAGCATTGAATTTATTAGCTAAAAATTCAATTAATAGAAATGAATTGTTAAATGAAGGAGAATTGGATGGGATTTTACTTGCGGGAAGGTAATTTTTTTGTTTAAAACTTTTATACATTTTGGGGATTTAAGTTTATTTTGTTAGATTTTCTAGCCTATCAAATAAATATGAATGGTTAAGTTGGTTAAATTCTTGTCTTTTGGTGCATTAAATGATGAAAACTCAATTAATGTCTTCTTTCCCCGGCAGAAGGGATTTATGTTGACAAATTTAAAATTGAGTTCTGATAATGATTTTTTAAATTAATTTTTAATTTTAATAAAGAATATTTCTATAAAAAATTTAAGAACATTTGATCCAGAGGATGTTCTAAAACAGGTAATTGATGGATTGCGGCTTTCTGGCTCTGTAGTTATTTATTCCCCAATTAAACAGGTATTTAATTTAAAATTAATTTAAAAAAATTTTCTTTTAATTTTTAGCACATTTTGAAAGCCTGGAGTTTTCTTCGTTCAACAAATTCTTTTATTGATATGCAAATACAAGAACAATTTTGCCGGACACATCAAATATTGCCTAATCAGACTCATCCACTAATGCAACAAACGGTAATTTAAAAAGTGACATTCTCAATTCGAATTTAATTAAAAATGTAGGTAACTGGTGGCTATATTCTTTCAGCAATAAAAGTTTTATCAAATGAAAAATTTAAAAAATTAACAACAGAGGATTGAGATCACTTAAAATATTTTGTTATGTTTCTGCTTTAAAATATAAATTTTAACAATAAAATCGTGAATTTTGATTTAACGTTTTTGAATAAAAAACTGAAAAATTTGAATTTACATATTTGAAAATAAAATAAAATTTAAGATTTTTGAAAATCTTTTAACCTTAGTTTTATTATTTTTCAAATAAATACACAACATAGATATAACCGTACTTAGGTTTTTGTAAAAATATTATTTTGGATTTAGAAATGTTAACATTGTAGATCAGATATTTTACTTTAAGTCCTCTAAAAAACTAAATTCTAAATCTCAATTGACAAATATCACAAAAATTATTGAGCAGAAGAACTGGCAGCTGAAGCAGATGATCCGGCCCTTTGTTGACCACCTGAATCAAATTTTCCACCTTCTTTTCTTGCTCGGTTTTGGGCATGTCTATGTCTTGACTCGTGTAAATATTTCTAAAAAACAACAATAATTTTGTTTACTTAAATTTTTTGACCCCCAAAATGAACTTATCCCCTCTAGTTTTTCAATTTTCGAGGACCTTTATCTCTGTCCACAGGCATTTTCGTACCCAGAGAGTGGTAATCCGACTCAGATCGCCGAGGCTAATCGAATGGTATATAATTCGACCCCGTTTTTCCCAGTTAAACTATATCCATAATTTATTTTAAAATATCCCCCACCCTTCTCTCCTTCGGAATTCTTCCCTCCATTTCTAGTTTAGCTCTAGCAGCTCTTCTCTTTAAAATTCTATTATATTGTTTCTCATTAACATAAATTGGTTCTATTTGATCTGTTGATATTTGGCCATTTATAGATTCATTATTTATAAAATATTCATTTTGCTCAATTGAATCAAAAGAAGTTGAAGGAACATTAACAATTGTATGTTGTTGTTGTTGATCACAAGTTGTGGGAACATTGTTATTATTTTCAATAAAATTATTATTTAAAGCAGATGGAAAAAACTTAAAATTTTAAATTATTTACGTGTTTTGTAAAAATTATTTAAAAATTTTATATCTTTTTAATTTTTGACTCTTTTTCATCCAAAATGCTAATTTTCTTTTAAAAATCAATAACACCTGTCCACCAGTAATTGATGTGCCCAATGGTATGAGTGCAGTACTTCCGTCGCCAAGACTCATCACTTGAAAAGGCATCATTGCTTGCTGTCCTGATGGAAATGTAAAGTGCTGGTCATTACTATTATTTGAAGTATTTAATATTCCTTCACCACTTTGCTAAAAAAATATTTTTTCAAATAAAAATATTTAAATAATTAATCATAATTTATTTTTCTCATTTTATCTTTAATTAATGAGAATATTCAAGTCTATAATTATTCGGGGCATGTATAAATAAAAAAACAAATTATTTATTTACATTATTAGCCAATTGTATTCCTTGAGGCAATTGAAGAACATAATGTTGTTGAGGTTGTTGTTGAAGGCTTTTTTCATTGCCTATAAAAGAGGAAGGGTCAACTCCTAGCATTTGAGCTGATTCAGCGGGAATTTGAACAAGTTGGTAATATTGCTAAAATTTGGATTTTGGAATTAAATGGAAATGTGTGGTTTTTGAAACCCTCTGTGGTTGTGGATCTTGTTCAACTATTGTCTGTTGTTTATTCGTTTTTTGAATATTTTGACCATTTTGAACAAAAGAGGGAGATGAACGAGGGTATTCTTCCTGTGGGGAAGGAATATTTTTTGTCATTTCTACAAAGTTTATTTGACCATTCTGACAATTTATTGGTTTTTGTGCACTCATCGGCTGAATTTATTTGAAAACCAAAAGAAGAGAGAATAATAAAAAGTAAAAAATAAAAATATTTGATTACTAAATATTTCACTAATTATTTTACTAATATTTTTACTAAATCTGCCACATTTTTTATTGTTAAAGCTTTAAACAAATGGGAGAAAATGCACTGCGCCGAAAAAGTGGCGCGTCGAAATAACCCTCCTAAAAATGAAGGAAAAGAAAAAAAGTATTTGAAAAAGAAACCATTGAGGGAAATAAAATATTTTTATTTGGACAATTTAAATGGTTAAATAATAAATGAAGAATAAAAATGGTTGGTTATAAGCTGCTCATTTGATGTAAAAATAAAAGAAATAACTGCCACTCAAAATTTTTTTTTTCTCTTTATATTTTCATCGCACGCACGCACATCCAATCAACGAATTCATGCAAAGGCGGCCCAAAACTACTAGCGAATGGATGGAAAACTAAAATATGTGTGTATACAAGTCAATGAAAATGTGGAAATAAAAGAATTGAGGAAGAATGGGACAAAACACTATTGTTTCGAATTTAGTTTATTGTTAATTTATGCCAGCTGTGAATTTAGAAAATAATTATATACAAAGCCTAGCCATTAGCAGAAAGATGAAAAAGCAGCAAAAGAAAAACAAGAATTTAATGGGAAAATTGAATAATTTAGAAAAGGTCGCGCCAAAATGACCCAAAAAGTTCTCTAAAACTTTGAGGACAAAATCGCATTTTTATGAAGGACAAAACAGTAAAATGGGAAAATCGAATGAGCATTTACTTAAAGGATTGGGTGGAAAAAATAAAAAAAATTTTGTTTGTACGAATGAGAATATATAGATGGGCTGAATGGATGGATGGATGAAAAGGAAAAAATGTCATCGACGAATGTGTGTAATGGGAAGAAAGGCTAGCAATGGGGGAGAGACAACGTTAACTAAAAAATGGGCGCTCTCTGTTGAGTAAATCCAACAGCCACCAAACAATAACAAGAGGAGAAGAAGACAAGGCAACCACTCCACTTTACTTACTACACAGGCTATTTTATAATTTTTACCTTTTTGCCTAAACGAAAATATATTAAAGTGAATAAAAGATGGGCGTCCTTGGGTGTGTGCTTGACTCTGTTTGCTGCATTAAAAACGTCCACACCCTTCTCCACTAATGGGCAATAGGGGCGGGACTACCAGGGACTGGCTATGAATTTGAAGAATGTTTTTGACTTTAATGGTGCCGACAATCGATTAATTGTTTTTAACAAGAAAACGATGTTTGGGAATGCTTAATGAACAATCTTAATCAAAACACGAATCCTTGTAAATTTCTAAGTTCTCTTTCTGATAGATAATTTTAGTTTAAGAGGACTAATCCAAAAAATTAAAAAAATAATTATTTACTTATAAAGTCTTTACATGGAGATTTTGTTTTGGACAATCTTCAAGTCAATCGAAAGAGTTCTTCGATCTGAGTCGAATGACATCAGAATTAAATCGCGAAAAACTTGTCGAGATACATCCCTCTAAAATAGAAAAACCAGGGGGAAGGGGGAGCTGTTTTTTGTGGTGAAAAATTCAATTATACAAATAATAGCTAATTCGACTCAGCTCATCGAGATGTTTCGATTGACATATAGATTGCCCATATCTGTAATCTCGCAGTAAGGTGTACCTGTCCCTCAAAAGACTAACTTGACATCTATACCAAATCTTTCAAAAAGTTTTAATTTATTTAAATCTGATGGTATATTTCGATGTTAGTTTTATCAATATATTTTAAAAAATATTTTCCAAAAATTAAAACAATTTAGCCTCAACAAGATAATTTTTAAATTTAATTTAAAGTTTTCTTTATATCCCCAAAAATTTAATAACAAAAACACCGGCCGCGTCTGCATGGAAGTCCAAAACAAGTATCCAATTCTCCATTACATTTCTGCTTATTACAAAATTTAAGTAATGCTTCTCCATAATTTGCAAAACCATTAAGTTTATGAGCTTTAAAGATTAAAAATAAATTATTTAAAACATCAATCCCTTTAATTTGCTTACATGGAGAGGTTGCGAGGTAAAAATAAAAATCTAAAAAAATCCGATCTAAAAACGGTCGAGACCGGGTTCATTCGATAGAGAATGTGCCCTTTCTAGCAAGGATTTTGCCCGTTCGGCTCAAAATTAGATCGGACACCTCGCAACCTCTCCGTGTTAATTAACTAGTAAATAAAATAATTTCCACTTTTACCTTCAATACATTTACAAATACCAGTCTCATTTTCACAAGAATTGTAAAGTCCACCACAGGAAGTTTGATTCAAACAATGAAGTCCACTAATACAAGCAGTGCAGTCACAAGTTCCCGGAAAAATTCCCAGACAGCGGGGACGTGAATTTGTCTTTAAAAATAAATTAAAATTTATTTAATCTTTTTTAGAAGTATTAAAGGATAAAAAATAATTATAATTTTTGCATTCTCCAGAAATTTAGAAAAATTAATTAACCAGATTTGGCAGTATAATTGTAAGAAAAGACATTACATTACCCATCCCCCTTAAAAATCCCCTCGTTAATTATCCTTTCCCCATTTAATATTTTCCATCTAACGGGTAAAAAAGTTAAAAATTAAAATAATAAAACAAAATTTTCAAATAACCTTTTCATTCTTTTCACCACAATCTTTATCTTTGTAGCAAATAGAACGAGGAACACAATTTTTAATTTTTGGAGTAGTAAATGCATTGTCTTCCTCAGAATTAGTGTCATTTCCAGGAACACTCTCATTTGTTGTATTTTCTGTTCCTGAATCACTTTTCTTATTGTCAAAAGCAAATTCTTCTTCAGAAAAGTCTGTCGTGTTTTCTTCCGTATTTGTCTCATTAACTTCATTTTTGTTATTTTGAATGTCATTCAAAATTAAATGTTCTTTAGAAATATTTTCTTTTGTATCAAAATCGAGGAAAGTTAAAGTATCCAGCAAGTCAAAATTGTTGATAAAGTCAGTCTCGTTTAAATCTGAAATTAAAAAATAAAAACAAAAAAAAATATTCAAAACCTCCTTCAGTTGTAAAAACAACATAATCATTTGTTGTATTTAAAATTGCTTTAGACGTGGAAATAAATAAAATAATAAACACAATAGAAGGCATTGAATTAAATAGGTATTTTAATTTGTTAGGTATTTTAAACTAAAAAATAAATTAAAAATAAGGCTTCTTCTAAATCCCGCAAAATTTTTTAAAAGAAAATTTAAATATTTTTGGATTAAAAACTTTTAGCTAAAACTTTAGATTAAAAGGGTACAGCCCAAGTAGGCGCGGGCCAAGTAGGCGCGACCGAGTAGGCGCGACCGAGTAGGCGCAGGCCAAGTAGGCGCAAGGCCAAGTAGGCGCACGGCCCAAGTAGGCGCAAGGGTAAATTTCTTAATTTTTACCCAAAATTTTTTTTATTAATCTTCAACTAATTTTGTTAATTAGTTGGATGAATAATCAAGCAACTTTATGTGGACACTGGACTTTTTCTAAAACTGCCCTTCTTAGGGAAAAAAAATTATTAAGTGAAGCTCGTTGATGTTTTTATTTTTTGATAAAATTAAAAAATCTTTTAATATTTTTCTCATAAAAGCTCCATACTTAGCTGCTAAGTTTTGGATTATTTGCTAAGTTTGTTAATTAGTGAAAGCCATGCTGCTTTGATAATTCCTGTGGCTTACCAATGTTATGAATACTCTAACTAGTTCAACTAGTTTAAGAGGGACTAACTAGTTAACCTTTAAGAACTAACCAGTTTAAGGGAACATGAAGTATATACAAAGGTACAATTAACAATCAAGATACGACTATCAAGGCGTTTCACAAAAAAGTCCAGCTACAGTTAGGAGTCTTTTGATGATTAAAAGCTTTTAATGCAGGGCTCTCATTCGTACTTTATTTGAAAGTACAGTACTTTAAAATCGACCTCCGTACTTACAAAATTGAATTTGTACTTTATTGAAAGTATGTACTTTAAAATCAACATTTTAGATTGAAAATGAAATTGGGGAAGGGATTGGGCAAAAAAGTGAATTTTTTTGGCCTACGGCATTCGAAATTCTCAAAATTTTCGCCTGCGGCGCTGAAAAATGACGAAAGAAAGTAGCTTGTTTGAGGTTGACTGTCAGGGCTTTATTTCTTGTGTCAGCGAATTTTGACATGTCATGCATTGAAATGCACAAAATGCTCAGTGGAAACAAGAAATTATTAGAAAAGATTCATTTAGGAGAGAAATATAAAAATTTAAGCACGAATAAATATGTATTTTCTAATTTAATTTTGAGTGTACTTTAAATGTGGAAATTTTGTCCCTATGTACTTTAAAATCAAGATTTTTGTACTTTTGATTGGTATTTTGTCGATGAGAGCCCTGTTTTAATGGATTAAAAAATAAATATACACTTTTGAACTGCCTAGTTAATGCATACAGTACGAACGTATACTAACAGGATATCGATATTTAAGGTGTCTTTCTTCTAAAATAGGTACCTTTCTTCTAATTTTTATCAAGAATCTTTCTTCTAACTCATTAACATAAAAATATTTATACTGATGACTTATTTTTTAATTTGAATATTTTAAGCTAAAAGATTTGCGCCTACTTGGGCCGTGCGCCTACTTGGCCTTGCGCCTACTTGGCCTGCGCCTACTCGGTCGCGCCTACTCGGTCGCGCCTACTTGGCCCGCGCCTACTCGGGCGTGTCCCGATTAAAACCCTCTAGTTTTTTAAAAGAAAAATACAGATTTTAAGTAATACATATCGTCACGGTTAAAAGGGTTAAAACGCCTATCTAAAAAAACAGCTGAACGGCCATTTTAGTCGGTAGCCTAATTCTTTGCACTTATACGAATATAGCAGGCGATGTTTAGACTCATTATGCTCGTATTGTCTATTTGGCAGATCGATCTTTTAATGAATAGACGTTTTGATCCATTTTGGCCTGTCGATCTTTTAAGAATTTCTGGCTAAGTAATGTTTTGACCCATTTTGTCTAAAACCAAGTTAATCAATTTTTTAGAATTTGTTTTTTTATTTTAATCTTTTTCAAGGATATAATTATAATTTCATTTCACTCAAATCTTAATGGGTTCAGGATCTTTTGTTGGTATAAAATTCTGTCCAGAATGGTATTTTTTGATTTTCTTAATAATTTAATTTTAAAATATTTTTAGTAACAATATGCTCTATCCTCGTGAAAATAAAGAATTTCGTCGATTAATGTATGTTTGTCGAAATTGTGAACATAGTCAAATTGCTGACAATCCTTGTATTTATGTTAACAGACTTACACATGAAGTCGAGTTTGTGTAGATTTTTTTTTCTGAAATTTCAAATTTCCTTAGCGAGCTTACCCAAATTGTTGCTGATGTTGTTCACGATCCAACTTTGCCCAGAACTGAAGAACACGAATGTCCGAAATGTGCTAAAAGGGAAGCTGTATTTTTTCAGGCGCAGTCTAGACGGGCGGAAGTAAAATATTTTTATTTCCTTTTATTCAATTAATTTTTTTATAATTAGGAGGAAATGCGTCTTTATTTTGTTTGTGCTGGATGTCACCATCGATGGACAGATTAAATTTGTTTTTGATATTTGATTTTGTGGACATTATCTCTTATTTATTTTTTATGGATTATTTTTAAAAAGTTTTATTTTTTTCAATTTGTTTACTTCATTTTTACCTTTTTATATTTTAAATAATTAATTCAAAATTTTCATTTTATATGTTAAAGACGCGTGCTTTGGACGCATTTTTAGGCGAGGTAGTTGGTGGAGGTGTGGCAGGCATTGTACTCTTCAATAAAGATGGTAATTTGTTAAAATTTTATTTAAAAGTTTGGGGGTTTTAGTTGTAAGTTTTTGATTTATTCCAATCCTGGAAGTTGGCTAGTTTTTTCTGTATGGGTGTTTTGGCGAATAGTTTTTAAATACTTTATTTTAATTTTAGGATTAACTGTCTCACGTGCACTTGACAACTCTCGGGGTGGTGGCAATGTTTATTCGGCATTATTGGCAAATATATGGGAAACATTTGAACGTCATGGTTATTCTTTTTTTTATATTTCTAAAATAATTAATTTTTAGGAGTTCGGGATGAACTAAAAGAAGTTGTTATTGGTTGTGAAAATGGGACAGTTGTTCTAACCAGAGTAGCCTCAATGCTTTTGGCAGTTTTGGGGACTGAAGATGCTCCACTTGGTGTACTTTTGGTTAAATTACATGCTTTGGTTGACCAGCTAAAGATTCCGCTTAGTGCCATTTCAACATAATTTTGTGACTTTTGTTAAATGTTTTTGAGCAATTTTCTGGTTTCATTTTTTAAATTAAACTATTTTTGTTTTTGAAAATTATTTTTTGTAAAGAGAAATTTAAAAGTTATTTATCTCCAACTGTTCTGAAAAATGTTTTCATAGAAAATCAAAATTTTTCATTTGTGAATAAATCTATTTTTGAATTTTTAATATTTTAATCTTTTTCTGGTTTTTACTTTTAATATTTTTCAAAAAGCATTTCTGTTTAATATTCTTATTTGTCATCTAGTAACAGTAAATAAATGGTCTCAATATCTCCTGAGTTAATTGAAGATCAGGTTTGTTTCATATTCTTAATGTTGGTTTACTTAACTTTTAAATATTCGAGAATTCTGTAATAACTTCAAAAACTGTTTGATATTTGGATTAATTTTGAGAAATATATTTTATAGAAAAAGTCATTTTTCTCAAAGTTATTTCAGAATTAAGGCTTGCAATTATTTTTAAAAGAATTTATTTTTAGGTAAATGAAATTTTGGCAAAACACAAAAATGAAATTCTGAGGCTACGCTACAACTTTGAATTTGAGCCTATTTTTGGTAATTAATTAACCTACCTAAAGTATTTTTTCAAATTTTAGACGAACTTTGTGGACTTTTACCAAATGCTAACCCGGAAGATATTCGCAAGGAACTTGATATGCGTATTCTCCTACTCCTCGGTCTTAATCAAGTTGTGACCAGATTTCCTCCTGAGCCTAATGGGATTCTTCACATTGGGCATGCAAAAGCTATAAATATTGATTTTGGAACTGCAAAGGTTTGATTTTTTACTTTTCATTTCCTTGAAAATAATATTTTTTTAATTTATAATTTTCAGGCTAAAGGCGGAATTACTTATTTACGTCTTGACGATACAAATCCTGAAGCTGAAGATGTTTGTTGTTTTTGATTTAAATATTAGAATAAATTAATTTTTGGAATTTGTCTTTTAAAAGCATTATCCACTAATTTTAGGATTTTTAGTACGCTAATATTAGTAAAAAATTCTTAAACACAATAGTTATATCTTTGTTTCTGTTGATGAAACAATGAATGTTTTTATGAAAAATTTTTTCATTTAAGAATTTTTTTCATTCTCTTTTTACTTTATTACATATTAAATATTTGCTTTAAATTTTAACTTTTAGGAGCGTTATGTAAATGAAATAATTGAAATGGTTAAATGGCTTGGCTTTACTCCTTATAAAATTACACATTCTTCTGACTATTTTGATCAATTATATGAATGGGCATATGTTCTAATTAATAAAGGTTTGGCGTATGTTTGCCATCAAGGAATTGAAGAAATGCGAGGCTTTGATCCTCCACCATCACCTTGGCGTGACAGACCTATCGAAGAATCTGTTAAACTTTTTGAAGCAATGAAGAATGGAGCTTTTAATGAAGGAGAAGCAACTCTTAGATTAAAATTAACAATGGAAGATAGTAAACAAGATCCGGTTTGTTTTTTGGATTTAATAAAAAAAATTCTAAATAGAAAAATTAAACCAGAGGCAGATTTATAGAGTATTTGAAAATTAGAAAATGAGGATATGCAGTAGAAAATATCATTTGATGGGGGTTGTACTCTTAAATTTTTTAGTAATTTAATAATAAATTTAAAAAGGAAATGTTTTATATTTTCAAAAATTAGTATTTATAATACATATTCTTCAATCTTATAAATTCCTTCAATTAATAGAAGAAGAAAACAAGGCTTTCATAATTTTTTTTTAACAAAATAACCTGTTCATAATTTACAAAATAAAATATTTTCTATAATTATTATATTTAAAAAATTTAGGTTGCCTTTCGTATAAAATTTTTGCCTCATCATCGAACTAAAGACAAATGGTTATTTTTTACAAATAAAATATTTTTATTTAATTTTCTTGGCAGGTGTATTTACCCAACTTATGATTATACTCATTGTTTATGTGATAGTATAGAGAAAGTAACTCATTCTCTTTGTACAAAAGAATTCCAAACAAGGTTAGATTGAAAATAAGTTTTTGGATTTTTTAAAATATTTAAATTTTTAGAAGGAGTTCCTATTATTGGCTTTGTAATTCTTTAGATGTTTATTGCCCAACTCAATGGGAATTTTCTCGTTTAAATCTTTCTTATACAGTTGTTTCCAAAAGAAAATTGCTTAAATTGATTCAAAGTGGAGTTGTTAGGTTAATTAATTTTTAAATATTTATTTTTAATAATTCTCATTCGTTTATGAATTAAGTTAGAAAAATATTAGATTATCGAACCTTCTATAAACTTAAAATTAAAAAAGTTTTTTCAGTGATTGGGACGATCCTCGGCTTTTTACTCTTACCGCCCTTCGACGTCGCGGCATCCCTCCAGAAGTTATCAACAAATTTGTTGAAAGTTTGGGTGTTACTGTTGCTCAAACTTTAATTGATCCAGTTATGTTAGATGCTTTTTGTCGTGATTATTTAAATATAACGGCTCCAAGGACAATGGCTGTATTAGAACCTTTAAAAATAAAAATTAAAAATTATGCTGAACTTGGATTTCTTCCCGGACATTCGTTGAAGGTTAAATATTTTCCGGCTGATCCGAACTGTACTGACGAATGGGAAATTGCTTTTGACGAACAAATATTTATTGAAAGAATGGATTTTAGAGAGGTTGGAATTTTTTAAAAATTTTGTAAATTAATTATCCAATTCCTTTTAAGGAGGCAGAAAAAAGCTATCGGCGCCTTACCATTGGACAGTCAGTTGGTTTGCGTCACATTAATTTAATTATTCGAGTCGATAGTATTGAAAAAGATGCAACAAATGGGGAAATTAAACAAATTATTGTTAATGGTGAAATGGCAGCTAATGCTTCTAATAAACCAAAGGCATTTATTCATTGGGTGGCTAGACCTGTTAAATGTCAAGTTAGACTTTACGAGAAATTGTGAGTTTTTTTAGGAAATAAATTTAATTTTTTTAAATATGTAAATTAGATTTTTACACAAAAATCCAGAAGATCCTGTTCAAGTTCCTGGTGGATTCCTAACAGATATAAATACAAATTCTTTGACTGTTTTGACAGAATCATTAGTCGATGCTAGTATTGCAAATAATGCTAAACCTTATGATAGATTTCAATTTGAAAGGAATGGTTTCTTTTGTGTTGATGCAAATGATTTGGCTAATGGAAAGGTAAATATAGAGAAAATTGTTAAAGATTTTTAAGAAATTGGTTCGAAGTTTATTTTCGAAAATAATTTTTTCTTTAAAAATCTACCAAGAAAAATTATTTAATTTCAGCTTGTTTTCAATAGAACAGTTTCTTTACGTGAAGATGTTGGAAAGAATGCATGAGAGATTCTCTAAATAAAAATATTATTCTAGTAAAAAGGAATGAATGTCCCAGTTGTTAATTAAAGTATTTATAATTTTATTTGTTAAATGTTACTATAATTTTTTAAATAAAAATATTTTAGCAATTTTATTTCATTTTAATGTTTTTTATACAAAATTTATTTTAAACTTTTTTATTGAATGTTTAAATGATTTTGATTGGAAAATTAACGGAATTTTCTGAAAACTAAATTTTAATAGATTTGGGTCTGCCTAAATTTAATGTAGACTTCCAATTTTTGTCCACTAAAATTTTTATATAAACTAATTTGAATTTTTTAGAATATACTAGTAATGATGAGTGATGACGACATTGAAACTTTAAATTCAAGTTCAATAAATGAGTCTGTGGAAGCTAAGCGTACAAATTGTCGAAAACGTTTACGGACTTTAGAAGTGAAATTTGAATAAAAATTTAATTGTTTCTTTTTATTTTAGAATGAAAATGAGAAGTGTGAATTGGCAGAAAAGGTACTCAAATCTCAATTGGAACTGGTAATTTTTTTTTAGATAATTTTTTGAAAAGAAATTAATTTTTAGGAATACTCATTAATTGAAAATTTAAAAGAAATTGACAAAAATTCCAAATTATCTGAACAATTGGAGAAATTAAAAAATTGTGGAAAGACGAAAATTAAAGAAGAATCTGAATTAAATAAAATTAAAGAAGATTATAAAAAATTAAATAATAATTTGGAAAATATTAAAAAGTTGGTGTCTCAAATGAAGAGTGAAAAGTTAAATATGGAAAATGACTTTAATGAAGAAATTGAAGTGAAATTTGAAAAATTTTAAATTTAAATTTTAGACAGTTCAAAGAAAGGCAAATGATCAACTTAAAAAGGTTATAATTATTTTATATAATTTTTTTCCAAAATTTTATTTAATTTTTAGGTCAATCAATTAATGTCAAAACATTTAAAGGAATACAATTCTGATAAATTAAAATTATATGGAGAAATAACTAAAAAGGCAATAGAATTGTCTAAAATTCAAAATAAATATAAAGGATTAAATAAGGAAATAATTATTTGTAGAAATATAATATTTAATTTGAAGAAGGAAAAAATCAGAAATTATAAATAAATCTAATGAGGAAATTAAAGTAAATTAATTAATTTATTTATTTTTTATTTTTGAAAAAAATAATTTTTTTAGAAATTTTTATTTGAGAAAAGTCAAATTGATAAATTAAAAGAAGAGAATGAAAGAATTTCTAATTTATATGATAAACAGACAAAAGAGCTTATTAATGTTAGTGTTGAGAAAGAAACTTTGGCTTCGCAAAATTCAAAATTAAAATTGGATATTTTGCAGGCACAGAAAACTATGTTGGTATTATACAGGAATATATTTACTAGTGTTATTCAAACGCGATTTTTCGGTATCGGTATCGGTATTTTCGGTAAAATACCGATACCGAAAAAATACCGATTTTTTAAAAATTGTTCGGTACCGTATTCGGTATCGGTATTTCGGTAAAAATACCGCGGTATTACCGAAAAATACCGCGGTAATACGGTACCGTGAATAACACTAATATTTACTAAAAATCTTTTTTTTTCCTTTACACATTTTAGGGGCTATTTGATTTTCTTTTATTTTTTTTCTGATCCTTAAAAATTCCCAAAAAATTGAAAGGAAAATTTAATAGTAATTTAGCCATTTATTTATTCTTTCTAAAATTTATATAAAAATATTTTTTAAAGTTTAAGCATGCAAGCTTCTCGTGCATTTACTTATCAACGAAATTAAGGAGAGTAATATACATATTTTATTTATTACTTAAAAAACTGGATGACCAGAATATTTATTAAATTGATGAAATTTAAAGACGCTTTAATTTTTTTTTTAATTTTTTAAAAATACTTTTTGACATTTTTTTATTTTTTAAATTTTTATTAAAGGAAATACAAAATAAATATTGACAAGTTTTTATTTACATAACGAAGGTTTATGGGATTTAATGATAATTTTTTGGGTAAAAATACTTCAAAAATACAAATTATGTTCACTTTTAATTAAATAAAATTTTTAGAAATCGGACCAGGGTGAGATTTCATTTTCGGTAACTATATATTTTTTGATTTTAACTAATTTTTAAGTTTAGTTTCTAATTTAAATAAAAAATTTTGTAAAAAGTGAACAATTTTTTAATTAAAATTTGTTAAAGTTAAGGTATTTTTGACATTAAATTTGTTGTTTTTGATAATTCTTTGGGGGAGTCTTTGTTGTTTTTATTATTTTCATTAGTTCCTTTGAGACATAAATTGCGCTAAAAATTAATTTTACAAAAAAATTTCAAAAATATTTTTACCTCAAAGGAAGGACTTAAAGAATATCTTCTCTCTCTTCCTTTCTCTTTCCTCCTTTGTTGGTTTTTATTTTCTTTTTTATTTTTTTCTTTAATAAATAAATTAAAATAATTATCCTCTTCTTCCTCTTTTTCTTCTTTTATTTTTTCAATTTCTTCAATTTTTCTGTCCAATAAACGTGAAAACATTGAATATAATAATTCTATATTTTCTTCTAATATTAAATTATTTTTGTTATTTTTATCTTCTTCTTCCTCTTTTACATTATTGCTATTAACTGTCCAACAATTTCCATAACTTATTGTTGAACATTCTGATGAGGGACTCGGGGCTGGGACTATTCTCCTCAAATTTTTATTATTTTTATAATTGTTGCTACTTGCACGGACGAGGCGATTGGCCTTAGATATTTAAATTTTGTTTTTTATTAAAGATAAAGAGAATTTATCTCTAAGATTACTCATTAAATAATTAATTAGAGACGCTGTTTATTTTAGAAAAATTTCCCTATATAAAATTCCAAAATCTCACCTCATTTAATGTTATTTTTCTATAAGCCCTAACAACATAAGAAGTATCAAAATTCACTGGATGTTTTTTGCCGCTTGTCAAAATTGGTTTTAATGTTTTTGCATTAAACCGTTCAAATCTAGAAATTTAATTAAAAATTTAATTTTCTAGAGAAAACCCCCTCCTTACTTATCTCTAACAGAATTTTTTCCTTTAAATCCAATAATATCTTCTAAACCAGACATCATATAATCACAATACTTAAATATTTTTGATTAATTATTTTCTTCTTCCTTTACCTTAATATAAACTTTTTCGGTCATTGTATCTTTTTTCTCAATATCCTTTTTTTCAACTTTTAAAAAATAAAGTAATGGGCGAATTGTAATACCCTAAAAATTACAAAATAAATATTTTTTATTTTAAATTTAATTCTCTCAACCTGTACAAAAACAGTAAAGAAAATAACAGCAATACACGTAGTTACAAACATTTGTTTTGCGGGGATTTTATCATCCAAAGAGACAACAAGTCCAAAAGCTATTGCCCCTCGAAGACCTCCATATGAAAGAACAAATTGGTCAGAAAAAGAAAATTTTCTAGTCCGACATTTATTTAAAAATAAACATTGAACAACAACCCCTAAACAAAAATATTTTTTTAATTTTTAAATTTACAAAAATATTTACCAAAAATTCTAAAAAGTAAACAAAACCCAATTGTAATTCCAATAAATGCCCAATCGAAATGGTGATTATGTGAAGCTGTAGATAATCCAAGAAACATAAAAATAACCTTTTAAAACTTTTATTTAATTTTCCCTCATCTTTTTCCCTTTCTTTCCGCCGCTCCTCTCTCCCTCCCTCCCTTGCTCCCTCCCTTACTCTTGGGTACACCTCAACTGAGTCCCGGACCCTATAACTTACTTGGGGGGATGGTCACCTCCCTTTCTCTCTCTCTCCCTCATTCCCCTTTCCCTCTCCCTCCTTTCCTCACCGTTTCACTACACTGTGCAAGCATTTTAACAAAATATTTAACAGAAGAAGAAGCATCTATTGAAAGATTCTCTTTCACGTATTGCTTCATTCCAATTCCACAAGCAACAATTGCCAAAATAGATGAGAGACCAAACAATTCAGCACTTAAATATGCCAAATAGGGAACAACAAAAACAAAAACTGGGGCTAAAAGTCGAATACGTGTTGCGAATCTTTTTTTTAAATTTAATTTTAAATTAAATTCTCCAAAAATAATTATTCACTTTGTTGCCAAAGAAGCCACAATTGCAAATAAAATGCCAATAAATAAACCTCCAATTGAAATTATAAGGAAAGAAGCACATCCAGCAATAAAATGCCAAAATGAGAGATTGTCAATACCAATTAATAAAAATTTACGAAACATTTGATAAAGAACCTTTTTTTAATTTTTTAAATTTAAATTCCCCTATTATTCACTCACAACACTAACACCATCATTAAATAATGCTTCCCCAAAAACATTAATAAACAAAAAAGAATTTATATTTATTTGTTCAAAAACAGCAATAACGGCAACTGGATCGACAGCACTAATTAAAGAAGCAAAAAGCAAAATTTGAAAAGAAGAAAATCCAACAGAGAAAATTCCAAATTTTGAAATCCAAAAAAGAGATAAACCTTCAAAAAATAATTTATAAATTATTTAATAACACTACACTAACCAATAGTTAATGTATTCCATATTGTTCCACAAAAAGCAAATAACATAACAGAATCTGTAAAATATAATACTTTTAAAAATTTATTTAAAATACCAATATTATCAAAAAGTTCCCGATTTGGCATAAAATAACCTTTCAAAAAATTTATCTTTTATTTAAATTCCCAATTATTTTTACCAGCTTCAAAAATAATTGGAGGTAATAAATAAAGAAAAAAAGTATCTGAAGGTAAAAAAAATAATTTTTCGTCGACTTGAGCAAAACGTAAAACAGATCCCAACAATAAACCGAGAACTATTAATAATGCTGAATCGGGAATTGCTTCGGCCATTTGTTTATTTAAATTGAAAACTGTTAAAATTAAAAAAATAAATTTTTATTTTGCTTTATTCTCTCTCTCTCTCTCAATTTATAATTTCAATAATTTAATCGAAAAATACTAACAAAACTTTCTGGTTTAGCTCTAAAATATATACCTATTATTATTCTCGATAACAATAATCTCTTTACTATTTAAAATTTTGGAAGGGTTCGGAAATATAAAATTTTATTTTTTTAAACAAATATTTGTCTGATAATGGATGGAGAATTAATTATATATTTATTGGCACTTTCTGAACTGTGAAATTACAAAAATAAATTAAAAAATAAGGAAAACGCTTCCATTATCCAATTAAAAATCCAAAAAAACTAACGTATTTTAGCAATACTAGCCAACAAAACCCAAAGAGACAGACCAAAAGGAACACTAACATGTGTCCAATTTAAATTAATTAATTCAAAATTAATTTCTTTAAATTCATTTAATAAAGAATTATTTGTTTCTTCCACTAAATTATTTTCTAATATTTTAATTGTTAAATTATCCTCTAATGATTGACAATTAATAGAATAATTTGTTGTTGTTAATATTATTAAATTAAAAATAAATAAAAAATGTATTTTTGGCATCAAAATTAATTTCTTTAAATTCATTTAATAGAGAAATTTTCTTTAATTATTGTTAATTATGTATAGCGGATCCAGGGATGAATAATTTCTAATTATTATTTATAATATTTACCTTAAATTATTCAGAAAAATAATTTTTTTTAATTAAAAAAAATTAACAAAACCCTTAATTTACTCCTTAATTACCCCTTTATATTCGAGAATATTAAAAACAATAATTTACAAAAAAATAAATAATCGAATGCTCTTAAAATCTCTTAAAATAAAATCTAAAAAGTGTAAATTAACTACTAGTAAATAAATATGTATATTTTTTGTTGGCATTTTTTAAGCTAACATTAATTCAAGCAATTCAAGTAAATAACAAAATAATTATTTATTTATTGTTTTTTATAAAAATTCTCTTTTTAAATTTAGTACGGAAAAATAAAGGATTTCCTCTTTTTTTGGATGAATGCGCGAAAAATGAGTAAAAAATGGAGAGAGAGAAAAGGCGTTGAAAATTAAGTGAAACCGCCGCCGATTGAAAATAAATATTTTTTAATAATTATTTTTAATTATTATAATCGATTAAGCTTTACAAAAAAAGGAAAAGCTTTAAAGAATTATTTAAATAATTTTAAATAAATTTGTGGATAAAAACAATTTTATTTATTTATTTTTTGATTTTAAAAATTTTTAAATCAAGCCTTTTTAAAAAAACAAGTTTTTATTTAATGACCATATATTTATTTAGTAACAACTGTGGCTAATCGTGCATGAATTTAAAAAAAAAGAATGAGGAAAATATTTTTTGACCAGTGAAAGTGAAATAAAAAAAGGGGAATGAGAGGATGGTTTTTGATTTAGATTAAAGGAAAGAATTAAATTTGATTTTTTATTGAAGGATTTTATTTTAATTAAATAATTTAGGAATAATAAAAATAAGAGGAAAATTAATTAAATTTAGAACTATATAAAAATTGTTTTTAATTATTTTATTTATTCTTGGAAGATATCTCCAAATTTTAAATCTCTTCTTTAATTATAAAATTTTAATTATTTTTTAACAAAAATAGAGCGGAAATGTGTCCGATAAAGAGAGAGAATCTTTCCCCCTTTAATTTTTATCTCCAATAACAACAACTAGATTTGCACTTATTTTTTTCTCCAAATCTCTTCTTCTCTTCTTTTGTCCATCAAAATAAAACATTTTTTTGTTTTTATTTTCTGCGCAAAAATGAATCATTTAAAATAAAAAAGAATTGACCAGTAGAAAATAAAAGGAGAAAGGCTTTTTTTGTGTTTTTGAAAAAGAAAAATTGATATTAAATGGAGAAAAAGAATATCTCTTATTTCGTTTATTTAGCTAAATAATTAAAAGTTGGTAAATGTGTTTTAATAAAATAACAAAAGATAAGAGAATCCAGAAAATAAATGAAGAATAAAAATCAAAAAATCAACAACCCCAAATAAATACCTAACACATATGAGTAAAAATCACGGCGCTGGTCTAGTTTATGCGTCCAATGAAACTATGAGTCCAGTCAAAAAATAATTGGATTTTTCATGGTGTTGCAAAGTTGTGGTATGGTTACAAAGCATTTCTTCATGTTTGGGACCTACGTCCACTGATTCTGGGACCATTCCTTGCCCTATCCCTCGAAATTTCGGAAAGTTATAGCCAATTTTTAAAAATTTTGGAAAAACAACTCATAAAAGTTTGATTGGACGCATAAACTAGACCAGCGCCTAAATCACTTCCAAAAAAACAATCCTCCCCAAAAATATCTCAAAAAATATTTTTGGTTAATTAAATTATTCTTTAAATTCTTTAATAAATAAATTTTTTACAATTGGTCAGCAAAGGAGATATACCGGTTTTTTAACAGAAGAAAAATGAGGAAGAAGATTTTTTCTTTGAAGAGCTTCAACAAATATTTAAACAAAAAAAGAGGAACAAACAAACAAATTAATACCAAAAAACTTACCTATTTGTACTTAATTTTCAACAAGTTTTAGGTTTTTAAAGTATTTATTTCTCTTAAAATTTTGGAAGGAAAAAACTTTAAACTAAAACAAACAGAAAAATTATTTGTAATTGAACTGGAAAAACTTGAAGAGAAAATACAAGAAAAAGGCTAAGAATTTTATAAATATTTTTCTAAATTGTTTAATTTTTAAAAGCCAAAAAAATTTTAAATAATATTTTTCTCTTTTCAAAAAAATAAATGTCAAACCCCCAAAATTTCGATTATATATTTTTATTAAAACTAATACAATTGCACTTTTTTAAAATAAAATTTGTGCAAAATAAAAAGTGAAAGAAAGCTTGAATCACAAAAAAGAATAGGGGAAATTGAAAAATAAAAGAAAACTTTGAATCACATAAGAATAAAAAACAAAAGAAAAAGTTTTTAAATAAATTATAAATATATTTTTTAGTAAAAATGATAAGCAGGCTTTTTAAGGTCAGCCGTCATTGTGGACATTTTTAAAATAATACAGGAATTGAAAATTGTAAATGACAAGATATTAATTATACTCCACTTAACTCTTAAAGATGCACGTCTGGGAGAGTTTGAGAGGCAGTGGAGAATTTGCAGAACTCCAATTATTTAAAAACAGTGATTCCGACGTAGTGAAATCCTTTCTGTTAATCTTTTTATTAAAATTTCACGAAAAAAACGCATCTTGAATTTTATATAATTTTAACGAAAATATCAGACCTAGGTTCCGTGACTTTTGCGCCGTGAAAACCGGGTGATTCTAAAAAATTGAAAATATTTAAGAGTAATTGCTCATCGACAAACCTTTCTCGAATGTTTAAATTTATGTTAGTAATTTTAATTTATAATTTTTATTTTTTTAGATAAGAAAAGAAATTAAAATAAGTCCGGAATATTGAACCGGACAGACCACCCTTTTTTCCTCCCAATTTTTCCCTTATATTTTTGCAAAATTGCAAATTTAATTTTTGCCTACAATCAGACAAAAAGGATTATTTAATTTTATACAAGTAAAAATACATGCCAAAAACAAGTAAAAGGAGGATATTTTTTGGTATTTAAGAAGCAACATTCTTAATCTCCTGATATCCGTCCAAATAAAAAAAACAAGAATCAAGGCCTGGATCCAGGCAAAAATAATCCTTGATTTTTCCTTTACTCAAAGTCAAGAATCTGGTCAAGGTACCCAACCGAAATCAAGGATCAAGGTTTTTTTGAAAATCCCGCTCTCCACTAATTTTATCACAAAGACAAATAAAACAAGAAATAAATTATTTAGAGATATTAAAGTTAACAATTTTATGGAAAATAATTTTAAAAAAAATTAAAAGTCTATATATTTTTTAAAATCTCTTTTAAATAATTTTCTTCAAAAATCTTTTTATAAATTAACATCGACTCATCAGATATTGGTTCCAATTCTACAGAGATAGAATTATTTTTAGAAAAATTTGAAGGTTTAAATTCAAAAGCAGGTCCAAGACGATAAAAATCTTTTCGAAATGGGGAAGTTTGTGGTTGAGGAAATTTTATATTTGTTGGGGAAGAATAAGTAGAGGAGGAAACTTTTTGAGAAGATTTACGTTGTTGTTGTTGTTTTGTTGGGGCAGAACGAGTTAAAGTATTGCCGAAAGGAGAAAATTTTAATTGTTGAGAAGGTGGAGTTGATGTTGAAGAAGGCTAAAAATAAAAATTAAATTAAAGAAAGAATTCTTCACTACTTTTTGTAAGTGTTTCAAAGGATTTGGTAATTTCCAAGCTGTTGGCTGTCTTTGCCTTCTCAAATTGTGTCTTTCAAAAACACTCGAAGCTGCCATAGAGTATTTACTGTATAAAGCCATATCCACATCCGAAATACCCAAAATTCCTCTATAACCGCCACAAACACTTTTCCTTCCATTTTTTATTCCAAAATAAACTTCTCGAGGAGATTTAAGTCCAGTATTAATTCCAAAAGGTTGTTTTCGTTGAATTTTTGGAGTTTGGGTAATTTGGTGATTTAATAAAGCTTAAATTAATTTTTTAAAAGAAAGAAATATAAATTTAGCAAAATAATTATAATTAAATCCCAATTTGTTTACAAGAATTTCAAAAGATTCTAGCAAAATATATAATTTACGTTAAACCTTAACCTAAAAGGGTACCATTCAGTTCTGAATTTAAAGGTGGATTTTCGACATTTTTTCTAAATAAAGACATCTGAAAATACCCACAAACAATTTAAGATAAAATATTTGCATTTCATCAAACCAAAAATACAAATAAATTAAAAATAATTATGTACCTCTAAATTTATTTAAAGGATCATTTGCCAATTCCTCTGGAGCATTTTTATCTTCTAAAATAATTACATCACTCTCAAAAGTTCTTTCTTCAGCTTCAACAGCAGAAAATATAGCCAATCCCTCTTCCTTCGAATTTCCAATAATATTTTGTTTATTTTCGTTTTGTTTATCTAAAGTCATTAACAAAAGTGTTCCCCCTCCTTCAATTCCTCCAGAATTGTCCTCCCCTCCCTCAGATTGATCTTCAACTTTTTGTTCATCTGCTTCTTCAGCTATTTCATTTTCATCAAAAAGCAATAAAGGTTTTTGCCCTTCTTCATCAACAAAACTTTTTTTAATTTTTATTTTCTCTTTTATTTCTTCTTTTCGTATAATTGAAGCTGTGCCAGCAGCAAAAGAAGAATAGGAGGTTGTTGTTGTTGTTTGACGATTATTAATACTAAATTTACTGGAAGTAAATGATAGAGCAGGTGGAGGTGAAGGAGAATGTTCACTCTTTAAATTAAAAAATTTTTTTTGGAAAATTAAAAAGGTAATGTTAACGAATCTCATTAAAATTTTTTTAGTTGAAAAAATTATTTTCCAATAAATGAAATGTATTAATCTTACATTTTTACTAGACATTTTATATATTTTTAGAAAGAATTTATATCCCATTAAAATTTAATATTTACATTTCCATCTAATATTTTTTGTAAAATAAAATAAATTTATTTTTATTTTATTTTTTTTTCAAATTTAAAATTCTAAATTTAGAAAAATTTTTAAACAAAAAAATTAATTTCTAAAACCTTTAATCTTTTCCTCAAAAAATTATTTCTAGCCCATTAAATGCTTTTTTACCTTAAACATCCACATAAAAGATCCCCCTCCCTGCTGACTTCGCCTTAACGAATCCAAAACTAAAGGTCGGCGCTGCTGCATTTGTTGTTGTAAACGTAACAGTTGCTCCAAACTTGTAAATTCAAAAGTTTTATGTGTTATAGAAAATAAATAATCATCAAAATTTGAAAAATTCTCTTCATTTTTTATTTCCAGATTATTTATTGAAATATTAACTGTAATAAAATAAATAAATAAATTTTTTAATTAAACATTCAAAATATTAAAAAGGTAAAGAAAATGGTAGAAAATAAAAAAATCCAATTTCTTTATTAGCAGAGGGTAAGATAACTTTCCTTTTTCTAAAACTTTTTAAAAAATATTCGATGACTTTTTTAAATCTCGTGAGATTTAATTACTCCTTCCAGATTAAAAAATATAAATTAAAATTACCCAAATCATTTGAAGTCTTTAGAATTACCCAATCTCTAAATTCAGAATCAGCCACCCAATCCTCATCTTCATTATCTGAACTGACAGAAATAGACCAAAGTAAAAATTCGTTCGATTTAGGCAAGGCAATAGGAAAATGTAAATAGTGGTCAGAACCAAGAGTCCAAATTGGAGGTTGATCTGCCTGAACACTGAAATTAATTTTAATTTTAAGTGTTTTTTTAGGTTTCGGTAATCAAATAGTTTTAGATTTGGTTTTAAATCCATTTTTATTTAGATTTTCATATATATTCCCTTAATCTCATTAGGCACACCTTTTTTTATAAAAACATTATTTTATGCCAAAACAAACCCCTTCATAAAAAAGCTTTATAGTATTAAACGTGCCGCGGTAAATTAATACATAAATTCACTTTTAAATTGGCACGCTTTGCACGAAAAATAAGACAAACAAAAAGCATAAAAATATTTTTTTATATTTAGTAATGTAACAAAATAAAAGTCCAAAACAATGAAAGCCCTAAAATATTTTCCAAATAAAATATATCATGCAATAAAAATAAATACAAAATATTTTAAGTAATGCCCCATTGTTAGTGATAAAATTTACTTGTATTTTTCCTCACAAAATTTTTATTTTGTCTAATTTTCTCAAAAAAATTGAAAGGAGAATATAAGTTTCTTAAAAACACAGTTAAAAAAATTAATTTTAAATTTATTCCAAATTAATATGTATAGTAAAACTACAGCCTAAAATATTAATTTATATAAAACAAAAAAGGAAAACCGAAAATACTACATTTATGATGGATTAAAGACTAGTTCCTATTGTCAATTTTAATAAAAACTGACGTAATTTAATCCTTTTAAATATTAACTTTCAGCAATTTCATTTTTTAATATTCTTCCAATTTCTAACATTTTTATCAACTTTTGTTCATTATAAAAATCCAAAAATTAAAACTCAAATTTACCTAAAAACAGTTTTCACTCTTAAAATCCGAAATAATGAACCAAAATTCAGAATTTTAAACACACATCATAAGATTATCTATTTTTACCTCTAACTTTATACAAACTTCCTCACATCACACACCCTACTTAACTGAAAATTTAATATTCAAAGACTTCTAAAAATAATTACTTAAACACCAGAAACTTGTTTTTTAACAAATTCAAATAGAATTATAAAAGAGGGAAGGAGTATTTTTGCTAAGATATTTACAATGACATAAAAGCGGAAAAGGTGTCAACACCAATTAACTTTAAATGGATGTTTAGAATTTGACATTTAAAAGCAATTTTAAAAACAAAACAAATTTCTGGGTGTGTTCACTCCTACATTTCAACAAAATAATTTATAATTCCATTAAAATTAAAAAAAAAGCGCGCGATTTTCTAACAATTTACATAATTTTATTTAAAATATTTCTGTGTAATTAAATTCACATGCTTTTTCCTCTTTTTAGAAAGCCTTAAAATTGTTTAAGAGAATACTTAACTTTAAACATTTAAACGTTCCTTCATTCTAAAATTTATCTCAATAAAAATTTAAAACATTTCTTTAAAAATTTCTATATAATTGAGAACTTTTAACAGGGATTTTTGAAAAGAATTTTCCATTAGGGGCAACACTTCACAAAAGAAAGGAATTTGTTACTTAGTACCAAAGCTTACCTAAAAATTAATTTACAGTTAGGGTAGATTAAACAATATTTTTTTAATTTAGACAATTCTATAAAAAGGCCATTAATTCCAAAAACAACAAACAAAAAATCATCAAATATCACAAATTAAACAAAAAGTGTTCCCAAATGCAATCCTATACTACAATTGTTATTCTAATAGTCTGTTTTGGATGCTTATTGACAGCAAATGCACAAATGACATTTTCTGATGGATGGGGCAAACGTTCAGTACCTTCAACATTTGCATTACGTTCACCCACAAAACGTCATCCACCTCCAGATTTCGTTCCGCTGACTGGAGCACGAGGGCCAGTCAACGAGTTTTTTGCAGGTGGAGGTAAGCAAACCATTCAAATAAAAAATAAAAATTGGGTGAAGCTAAACTTATAAAAATAAATGATGGAGATGATTAAAGTAAGTAAAAAAGGAATTTATATTTAGAAGAGGATGCAATGAACCCAGCTATGGAAGCTTGCCATGTTGGTTATGCCCAACGGTTGGTTCAATTGCATGAACAAATGCTGGTAATATATTTAATTGAAACGTAGAAAAATTTTTTAAAAAATAGTCTCTGTATGGCACATACCAACAATGTCAAGTTAAAGCAATGGGGACACAATCAAAGGTATAAAAGATATTTTGACAAAAAATTTAAAAAATAATTCTAAATTAAAGGCCAATTCTGCGGCACCTAAGTCTTAAGAAGTAAATAAAAATTTACCAAATGACCGACGAATCTCAACAATTAAATTTAAAAGAAAAATTACAAAAGATAGTCTTATAAATTAAAAATTTTCTTATTTTTTTAAATGTAAAAACTTATGTCGCAAAACCTTAAACAAAAATATGTCCGCTGCCAATACTAATGTTTCCCTTCACCGAAGTCATATATTCCTTTCATAACACAAATTGGAATATAAAAATAATTCCTTACAATAATTAATTATATAGATACTATTCTAACAGAAAAGTCCCATTATTCCAAAAATGCCACATATACAAACTTCGCACAAAATAAAATTAAACCAACCGGTAAGTCCCCAAAAATAAATTAATTCCATCTTGCTTTTCAAAATCACTGAACGTATTGCTATAATAACGAGACAATGTTTGTAATACATCCCTACTTCTTTCCTAATTTGTTTTAAATAAAAAAATATTATCTTTGTACTTTATATTACTTGAAAAACAGCAGTCCTCTTGTAAGTTTTAATGGAATGAACAAGTTGAGATCCAGCATATTGCCATGCCTTTAAAGAAAATTTTTCTCACATCAGGCAATTTTTATTTCCAAAAATTTAATTCAAAAATTTACCAAAGTATCCCCATGTTCATCATATAATTCTTCAAAACTTCTACAAAATTCATTACTTAATGATTGGGGAGATGGAGAATCTAAAAGTCCCATAGAGAATAATTGCCAACAAAGAGCTGCTTTTCCTAATCCGAATTGTGCTACCTAAAACAAATTTTTATTGAATTTTAATTAAATATTAAAATTCAAAAAAATCCCCTCAAAACAACCAACCACTTACTTACATTAGTTCTATCCAAACAATCAACACAATTTGACCTAACAATTCCATGTTGTAAAAGCATTCGATTATCAGAAGACATTTCTGGTTCAAAACGATAAACAACATCTTCAGCCCCAAAAGGTATTGAATTTAGATTTGAGGGATCTCGAAATTTAAGCGAAGGAAAATTCTAAAAATAAAAAAATCTACAAATTCAATTTATTTCTTTACCTGAAACCATCCAGTAGCCAAAACAACTCTTTGACCAAGACGGTCCAATTGTTGAAGTACCCGACCTGTTTTATTACAACGACTAACATCAAAACTAATATAGTCAATACAATGTCCAGAATGTCGAAATTGATTTAAATATTGAATTGTCTATTTGAAATTTATTTTTAGAATTTTTTTGGGGGAGAAGAAAAGATAGGGGAACAAAAATGTTAACAAATAATTAGTGAAAGAAAGGGAATGATTTAAAAAAAATTAAAAAATAAAAACAAACTTTACAAAAATTATCGTGAAGTAAATTTTCATTATGTTTCTGTTCCATTCTTTTAACTAAATTTAAAACAATAATTGGATGGCCATATTTTCTCCTCAAATCTTGAAAATGTATTGCTGTTGTTAAAGCATTTGGTTCTACACGATCAATCACTATTGGAGGTTTTCCAACAACCTAGAAGAGTGTTTGCAATTACTTTTTGATAAAATTAAAGTATAGAGGGAATTTTAGAAAATTATTTTTAGAGAAATTTGGATTTCAGGAAAATCAACTTCTCTAACAGTTAAATAAACTTGTTAAAAACTAACCATTGGAGCCCCTCTATGCATTGAATCTTGTGACCAAAAAAGAGGAACAGACCCTCTTCGTTGAACAAAAGCAGAAAATTTTCCAGAATTTAAACTTCCCGAATTGCTAACTTCCCATACAATTTGCTCAGTTTCAACATCATTAGCTACAGACCCTTTGTAATTTGTACCTCTTTTTAAAAAACGAGTGCCAGCAAATTCAGCAGAGCGTCTAGCCAAAAGAATTAAATCAAATTTAGCACAGGGCAATTCTACCAATTGATGACCTTAAAAAATGAAGAAATATTTAATTGTGAATATGTATCTTTAAAAATTAAAAAAAATTGAAGGAATTTTTTAAATTAAAAAATCATGGAATTGAATGCCAAAAAATATAAAATAAAGAAAACGTGGCGCACTAAGACTCGAATCAACAAACGGATTGTTAAATACTCATTGTCAGGTCCTTTAAAAAAATAAAAAAACTAACCAATATATCCATGTACAAGTTCCAAATACCATTTCTTATTCACCTTAATTTAAAATAAAATTCAAATTCCAATTAACAAACCCGGCTTTTTCTGAACGGTTCAAGTAAAAAATCATTCCAAACAAATTTTTGTTCACTTTTCATATTAAATTTATAATTATTTTTATTCCATTTAATTCCTTTTTCTGCCAAAGAATTTTCTTGTAAAGTCCGACTGAGTTTATATGTATAAGAAAAATAAAAATTTGTTGTAAAATCAACTGTCTAAAATTTTTTAAAATTATTTTTAAAAAAATTATTAAATTAACCTGAAATAATTTTGCATATTTTTGTTCTTCTGGAGGTAAGGGAGTTGAAGTTGAAGGCAAATAAATCATCGAAACATCTTCAACTTTAAAAATTGAATGATTTCCAATTTGACAAATTTGTTTTGCTTTAGAGACTAACTAAAATTTCAGTATATCTTTTTTTCAAAAAACCCCAAACAAACAAGTAAATAATATCCATGTAAAAACCGAACAGCTCCAATTAATCCACATGCCTTCTCTAAAGTTCGTAAAAGCCCTCCTCCTGTAGAGACTGTACTATTTCTTTTTCTTCCCCATTTTTCAGTTGGTGTCACTACTAAATTTGTAAATTTTTTTTAAAAAATATTTATTTAAAAAATAACTTGAACTTGAAGAAACTGTTGCAAGAAGTTCACCAATATCAGCTAAATAAATATTAAAGATATTATTTTTTCAATCAAAAAAACCTTTACTATAATCATGATTTGGTTCCCCAACTATAAATTCATTTTGTGTAATTCTGTCAATTTTAAGCGTTCGAAATATATTTTCTGTTGCATCTGAGCCAATTATATAAAAATGTGTAGGGGTTTCATAAACACTTAAAGAATAAACTCTATCCATTCTGTTAATTTATTAATTTAATTATTAAAAAGTAGACAGGCTAATATTGAAAAACCGGCAGAATCCCTCCGACCAAAACTCCATCGACCAATCCGACCAAAAGGATCCCCGACTTTTCGTTAAAGGACTTTCCGTCAATACTTTTCGTCATTATACCTTACGTCAACGGATTTTTCGTCAGTGAATGAATGCTTTTAAAGAAAATTTAGAAAACCCTAAAACGGTTCATAATATTAATAATATTTTTTTCCTAGACATAAAAAATCCGCTAAATGATTTAATACCTACCGACCGAAACATCAACCGACTAAAACATCCTTCTATTAAAAACCTTCTTAATAAAAAATAGTAATTTTATTTGTTCCTTCGTAAGAGAAATCTTCAAAATCGTAAATCGAAAAAAGTGTAGAAATATTGAAATCGAAAATAATTTATAAAATTTTTGAACTCAAAAAAAATTTAAAAAATTGAAAAATAATTTGTAGGTCTTTGTTATTTTAGGTTTCGATTGGAACTTTTGCTTGAACTCTTAGGAATTAAGAAAGCCATGAGCTAGGGTTGACAGATCCTGGTAAATCACGGATACCCAAATTTGGAGCAGATATCCAAACCAAAATTTAGGATATCCATATTTCCGGCACCAGTTCCGGCATTTAAAAATCACTCCGAAGCAGGTGATTTTCGGAAACGCTCCGTGTTGGACAATGAATAATAATCAACGAATAATACATCTAGAGTTCTTTCTTTTCAGTACCACAGTCCTGTCCGGAAAAGGGGGAAAACACAGAAGCAGATAAAAAGGCGGTTTGGGTACAAAGAGTAATTTTTAATTCTCTAGTAAATTTATATTTTTTAATAAAAAAAATTTTTTTAATTTTGTTTAAAAATTTATTCCATCTGTTTATTTTAGAATTTTTGATTATACTGTTAAATATTCGGAATTTTTTTAAATTAAAAATTAAAGTTATAAAGTAAAAGAAAGCTTTATGTATTTAATAATTAATTAAAGAAATTCTACCCCAAATTAAGAAATCTTTAATTTCTTTTAGTCAAATTAATTATTTAATTTTTTTTATTTAAATTTTAAACCACGAAATCTCAGTCTAAAATTATTTTACAAAAAATTAATTTTAAACTTTACCTTTTTCATTGTTTCAATATTTTCTGTTTAAATGACAAATTCAAAATTAGTTCCTTTTTTGTTTTAATTTTTAATAATTTACACGCAACTTATCGAAATATACAAATTAACTACAAAAATATTTTAAAAAATTACTTTTAATTTTTTTAAATTTCATGTCAAATAAATTTAGAAAAAATCATTTTATTTAAATTTAAATTCTTTTCTCCTTTAAAAATTTAATTATACTCTAAATATGCAAAATTTAACAAATTCTTTTTCAAATCAAACAATAAACGATTTATTATTAAATAATAATCTTCCCCATCATTTGGTATTTTTTTAAATTTATTTAAAATTTAAATTAATTTAAATTAAGCTTTATTTACAATATAAAAATTCTGGGCAAAGTTTATTATTGTTACTCCCTGCAGTTTTGTTGAATTTAATTGGTATACCTGGAATTACTGGAAATTTATTTTTAATTTATGTAACAATTAAAGAAAAGTTTTTTTTAATTAGAAAAATTAAAATAAAAATTAAAAATTTAAAGAAAATTAAGAGGGCCAACAAATTATTTATTGACTTTAACTGCTTTTTTTGAAATTCTTCATCAATCATGCCATTTTCTTTTTCTCGTTGTTGCTATTAGTGGAATTAATTTAATTAATTATTCCACCGCTATAATATTTCAATTACATTCAATTTTTGGTATAGCGGCAGTTCAGATTTTGTTTGTCTCTACAGCTATTGACAGACTTTTTTCTTTTTTAATTCCATTAAAATATGTTAAATTAAATGTTCGCCCTTATTTGGGTTTTCATTTATTTTTGGCTATTTCAAGCGGAATTTGGATGTCAACAAAAGCTTTAAATGTTGCCTATAAATATCCAACAATTCCTGTGACTGGACATATTAGCGATTTATTTGTTTCAGATATGGATATTATTTTTGCATTCTTTATGTATTTATCTATATTAAATGTTATAATTTATATTTTTGTTTGGATAAGTGTTCGGTATTTGAATACAGGTAATTCTTTTGCTTTATTTTTTGTGTAGAAACTTGTAGAAAGAATATTAATTAATAAAAATAACCCATCCTCGGGTTGGATGGGGGGAGGGGGGGGGGAGCATGTGCTACGGTCTGAACTCATTCCACGATAGTTCTATCCCATCTCCCAACCCCAACATTAACATAATATGTATTTACAGATTTATTTTAGAAAGATAAAATAATTAAAAACATTTTAGAATCCCTCTATTAATCTCTCTCTAATACATTAAAATAATCTACTATATATTTAAAGGAAATACCGAAAGCATTATTTCTACAAATAATCAATCCAATCTTCTTAAATCTCTCATTCTTATTGTTTCAATTGTTATTGGTGGTTATATAATTAACAGTATATGTCTGAAATTTATTATACCTTTATTTAATTTAAATGATATACAAGTAAAAAAATAAGTTTAAAAAATATATGAATTTTATAAAATTAAGATTTGGTTTTTTGGAGCTATTGGAGGTATTTTAATTAATATTGGCGCTTCTTCTGAAACACCAATACTTTATAATTTTAGGTTATTTTTAGAATTAATTTTTAATTAAAAAATTATTAGAAAAATAACCCCCTTTATACTATTTTCTCATTATTAAACGTTAGGTATAATTTGGGTTTACTTTAACACATAAAATAAATTTGTTAACTTATCTTTGGCATGGGAGTTTACTTAGTGGACAATAAAAGAGGAAATGAATAAAAACTTTTGACATAATTTTTAAAAATTAATTTAAGTAATATTTATCGCGAGGCTTTCAACAAACAATTTAAACAATTATTTTGCAAGAAATTTCAAAATAATAAAATTATAATTAGTCCTGGTAATGTTAACTATATTGGTGGAATGTTAAATAGTAAAGTTATTTATGTAAATAAAACAAAACAATCAACAAAGAAATAAATATAAATGATAAAATTAAATTAATTAATTTTGTTTGAAAATTATTTTTATAAATCTCTTTTATTGTAATTTTTTAAATTACATATGTATGTATTTATTTATTAGGAATCGGATTTTTATTAGGAAATTGATTTTGGACGAAGTAAAATTCTGATTGAATTACCTAATTATTATTATTTTTGTAAATTATTCTTAAATTTTTCACAAATCCTCAAAAAATTACATAAATAATTTTCAAAATTTTGTATATTTATCAAATAAAAAGTTTGAGTTAATTTGGAATTAAATTTGAAAGCTTGAAAAGTTTGCATCTTACTCTTTTACTTTTAAAAAATAATAATAAAGCACGTAATAATAATAACATATTTTACAAAATATTGTCAAAACCCTTCTTTTCTTTTATGCTAAACTTATTTTTTTATTTTTAATTGTTTTTAATGTCTGAATTTATTTTTTTAAATAAAAATACAAATTAATCTCAAATATGTACTATATCATTTAAAAGCTCAAAAAAACTTCTACGCAGAGATGATGAGGACAAAACTGTTTGACGTATATTTTAAAAATAATTAAAGGGACTTTTCTTTAATAATTATTTTTAAAAATAATATTTTATAAATTGTTTTTCCAAATTATTTTCTCTAATCAAGCAAGTGTTAAAAATAAATTATTTTATATAAAAATACTTATATTTTACAAACATCTTTCATTTATTTAAAGCTTTAACACTTTCATTTAAAAAATAACAAGTCTAATAGTACTAAAATAAATACCAAATTGTTTCATTAATTTTTCTTTTTTAAAATTAATTATTTGAGCATAAATATTTAATTAGTATATTTTGTTATTTTAAAAGGGCGCGGTTTTTAAAGATAAAAAGTAATTTTTATATAAATATGGATATATAAATATTACTTTTTAATATTTTTATTTTTAAATTTTATTGTTTATTAAATATTTATTAAATTTTTTAAAATAAAAAATAATAATTTTTTTGGTACAGTATTTATTCAAAAATAATTTAATAATTAATTGTTATCATAAAATAGATTTATTTTAATTTAAAGAAAGTCTGGCTATTATTAAATTAACAATATTTATTTAATTTTTTGTTTATTTAATTAGGTACTTGAATATAAAAAAAACTAAAATAAAATTAGTGGTATGTACATATTATTTAGACGGTACAAAAGAATTATTGAATAATTACCAAATAATTTTTAGTTAAATTAAATAAATATTTAGCAAAAATTATAATTTTTGAGTAAATTTTTTGCGTAGGTCTGAGTGAATTTTTAACTCTAAATTTTTATTCTTACTATGATTTATTCCATTTTCCTTTGTTTATATTAAGTGATAATTAAATAAAATGTATCTATTAGTCAATTTTCTAAAGAAAAGATGAATTTTAATTGTTAAATAGTATTCTTGTATATAAATTAGATAAACTTAAAATAATCAAACCCAGACTTAAAAACTTTTTTATTCTCTTATCTATTATTAATTTTTAACAACCCAACAATTTTTAACAAAAAATTTTTTTAGAATTTTCTCTGACGTTAATATACAAATTAAATACTAAAAACTTTTTTAATTTCACTATACTAAGTACTACATACTTTTAAAATCTTTATATTTTTTTACTTTTTATAGTATTTCAAGACAAAAAAATTATTTTAAAAAATTTTTTGAATTATTCTCACAGTAAATATAATAATTATTTTTTTTTGTTAAATAATTTTTATTTCCTTTTTTTAAATAAAATTAATAAATAATTAAATTAAAATTAATTTTTTAAATAAAATTTTCTTAGAACAACCTCTGGCAACCAAAATTTTATTTAAAAATTTTTAATTCCCCAAAGGTTTAAGATTTTATTAAAATTCAAAAGGTTAATTTTAAATTTTAATTACTCATTTTTTCATTAAATATTAAAAAATATTTTGTAAAATGTAGCTTAATAAATTCTCTAAGGGATTGACTAGAAAAAATTTTTTCAAAATAATTTTCATAATTTATCTAAATGATTTTTTAAATTTTTGTTAGAAATAAATTTAAAATTTAAACATAAAAATCGACACAAATTATAATTAATTAAAAAGGAAAAATTCTCCAAAAATCTCCACAACAATTAATCTCCAAAAATCCTCGCAATCTCCACAACACTATTAGTATATTTAGTTAAAATAAATATTGTAAAATGAGTTACAACGAAGGAACTACAAATTTAGTATGTTTTGTAAATTTAAAATAATATTTTTCAAATTATTTTATAGTTTTATCAAAATTTTAAAGAAACTGGACTTCCTTTTACTTTTGTAATGTTAATTACTGTTCGTTGGATAGTTTCTATGTTTGGATGTCTACTTAATTTGTCTTTAGTTTATATAACTATAAGAACAAAGTAAATTAAAATAAATATTTTTTTTTGAAATTTGGTTGATTTAAAATAAATATTAGAATTTATTTTATCTTATTTATCTCACAATAGTTAATATTTTTCATCAAAAATATTAAAAAATGATTTTTTTATAATTCGAATTTTTCTTTACTTCCTTTTTTGAATTTTCTAGAATTATTAAATAATTAAATTAAAAGTACACATAATGTTACACAAAAGTATGTATTGTCCCAGGTGAATGTTACAATTACATAATAACACCTGTAGAATAAACATTGGACTTTTACCTTTTTCTTTCTAAATAATTTATATTTAAAAATTCAGATCCCTACACAGTACTTGTAATATATTAATAGCTACCAATGCTTTATGTACAGCTATATTTGAACCAACATTGTCGATTGGATTAATTATTGCGATTAGTGGAATTAATTTTATTAAAGTGAATACTTGCTTTTATTTACAATTTTTGCCAGCATTTTTTGGAAATTTAACTTTGGCAACAATGTTGGCTATTGGCTTTGATAGAGTTATAAATATATTATTTGCTTCTTTCTGGATGTAATTTTTAAATAAAAATAAATTTTTTTTTCAAAAAATATTAATAAATATTAAATTTATATTTCTTTAAAAATTTTCCTTTCCATTTTCGATAATAATTCATTGAAAAAATTTAAATATTTTTTTCTTCAATTTAAGGAATCTTCAATCCCGTCCATTTAAATATTTATTTTCATTGATGTCTGCATGTATAATTTATTCATGTTTTCAAATTTGGCAACTTTTTTTAATATCTACTGAACATCCATATGTTCATGTAATTTGTTCATCCCCTGGAGAAGTTCAGCAAGGCGAAAGAGGAAAATTTCTTTATTTTGTGAATTTATTTGCAAATATTATTTTATTGTTTGAATATATAATTCTTTGGATTGTCTTTAAAATATATCAAAACAAACTTTGTAAACATTTATTTTTTTTATTAAACTTAGAATCCGTCCCGTGTTTACTCTAAAATTTTTTTTTAAATTTGAAAACATTTGGTCCCTTTTAGGTTTAATTTAATCAAAAAATTATAATTTATTTTTTTAAATATTTTTTTCTAGCCCAAACTACTTCAATTTTTACTCGTCGTATTCTTCGTTCATTAACAACCTTAACTTGTTTAATTATTGTTTGTTGGGTATTAAATAGTATTGTAAGGCTTTTATTGCCTTTAATTGGTTTATCTCCTCAATTATTAATTTACACAACTTTTTCATTTTCATTTCTTCCAATTTGTGCAATGGCAGCTAATGGGCCTGTTCTTTTTTTGCTTAGGTGTTTTTTTAAAATTATTATTTTTTCTTTAAAATTTAATTTTTTTAGTTATGAATATCGACAAGCATATGCAAAACAATTTCCTCATATTTTACATTCATATGTGGGAAGTTATGGAGATGGAAATCCGGGTGTTTCGCCAGTTCATATTTTAAATTTAAGAACAGCTGTAGTTGCCCCACAACCAACAAATAATAATAATTTTAATTCCGTCGTTCAAAATTTAGCAAGAGAATATATTTAAATATTCTCTTAATTTGTCATTTTTATATACTTAATATAAAATTTATTTTTAAAATTTATTTTCACATAAATATGTATGTACAATTTAATTATAAAATTTTGAAGATCAAAAATATATTTATAAACTTGAAAAAAACTGTTTATCAGACGAGATTCTTTTCGTCAACCTACAATTAGAATTATTTCATTCTATTTTTTAAAGATAAAGTTGAATCCCGAATATTTTCTTAACACAATTATATACCCTAACATATCAGTAGATTTAATCTTAAATATATTAATTTTTTAGAAACGTAAAAATTTTCTGTAATATTTTTAATTACCTCCAATTTTTTAACTTTCTTCATACTAAATCTAACGAGTTTATAATTCCTTTTAATTAACTAATTAAAGTTTTTGTTATAAAATTTAAATAATTTAATTTTTTAAACAAAGTCTTTCACAATCACTCAATAAATTGAGTAATTAATTGACTTTTTCATGTGATTTAATGCTAAATAAATAAAAATAGCAGGTCTAATTAGGAAGAGATTATGGAGAAAAGAGAGAGAAAAGTCGCGCGAAATTTTGTCTGTTTTATTAACGTTATTTTTTATCGCAAGACGCAAAGCATCCTTTATGTAGACATAAAATAAGGACATTCACTTGTCTTTTTTAAATACTTTTTTTAAATAAATTCTTTCTTTATAAATGTTTATTTGACAATAATTTTAAAAATTTATTTAAATAAAATTTTAATAAATTAAAATTCAAAATTAAATAAAATAAATATACATATTATATAATTTCTCAAAAATCAAAAAATATTTTTTTAATGATTTATTAAATTTAGAAAATAATAAAAACAAAAGAAGAAAAGTTTTATTATGAAAAAACAAAAATTTTGTTTAATTTTTATTTTATTTTTTAATTATATTCAAAATAATGAAAGTGTTAATTTGAAAGGGGTAAATAATTATTTTTTAAAATAATTATTTTTTTTAAATAATTTAATTTTTAATTTATTAAGAAGCATAAACTCAATCCAAATGCTAAATCTTTTAATTTAAAAGATATTCAACAAAATAATTATAAACAATTAACGAAAGAAATGTCAGCTCCAAACAATTATTTGTAAATTTATTTAAGAAATATATTTTTTAAATTAATCTATTTTTCTAGGGTGGAAAGTACTTCATCTACAATAGAGGTGAGATATACCTAAATATTTAAATATACATTTCCTCAACTTTTAATTAAGAGTGAAGACAATAACCCTTCAGCTGATCTAAATGCTACAGAACATTTGAATCATCAGCCAAACTTTCACAATAACCACCACATTCAAAATAATCAAAACCTAAAGCCACCCTACCATACAGTAAAACATTTTTACAAAGTCCCAGGAGAGTTGAGCACAAGAGCACACCCATATATTCCTATTACTCAAATTAAAGAAAAATCAGTAAACGAAGATAATAAATCAACAAATGACGATAAGTTGGATAATAATTATTATTTTTTATATTTCCAATTATATTTAGGGACAACAAAAATGCTTTTGAAGAGAAATCCCAACCATCTTCTCCAAAAGAAATATTCAATTTTAAAGGTAGAAATATAATATGTAGATATTTGACATTTCTTATACTATTTATAACTAGAGACCGGACTGAGCAAAAATTTCGGTTATCAAATCGAGATTTTTGAGATATCTCGTACGGGTTCTCTACCTCTATTTATAATACTAATATTATCTCCTGTTTCTAAAAAAGAGGGAAAGCTTTCTTTAACAATCAAAAATTCTAACCATTAATTTTACCTGTAAATATTGCTCATTTAAAAACAGTTTTGCATCATCTCTCAAACGTTCATAAGAATAATTTGGAACAAGAAGAGGCTAGTAGTTCGTTTAATATTGAACCTAATAATGACGATATTCAAGATGAAGATCTTAGCTATCTTATTCCCTCAGATTTATTGGATTCACCTAAACCCGAATCTGGTCAATCGAAAAAATGGTAAATTAAAAAATATTTTTATTTTCCTTTTTTTTTAATTAAATAAAAATCTTAATAAATTACTTAATTTTTAAATTTAATTATTTTTCAGAATATTCATTAAAAATATGAGATGTTAATTATTTTGAAGTAAAAATTTTTTCTTACAGAATAGTTTTACAAAAAACAATTTTTAAATTTAAATCAATCTAATTTTAACTGATTTTTCGATATATACATAAAAGTATGTATTTTGATTAAAAATTATTATTTTTTAATTTAAATTATTTAACATTTTTATTAATATTAAGAGAAATTAAAATTTTATGTTTAGACATAATATGTTTAAGTAGTTAAAGATGCATCTAGTTAGTCTACCTACATACACTGCGGTGCAAAAGTTTATCTACACTGACTGAAAATTTATTTAAAACAGTATATCTCGTGAAGAATTCGTTAAAATGGGGGGTTAAAATAATTTTTAAAGTACTGTACCCCGTTTTCCCGTTGATTTTTGTGATTTGAGATCTCGATGATGAAAACTGTTACGGACTTCGTTCTTTTTTATTTTTAACTCAGTATCAATGGAAATATCCTCAGAATTTTTTTGTTATTTTTTCTGCCATTTATTTTTCTAAAAATCCAATTTTTGCAAACTGTAGATAAACTTTTGCACCGACAAAAAACGAATTAGTTTGGGAAAAAGGAGCATATCATAAAAAGTTCTGGTGCTTATTTTTAACACAAGGGCTTATTAAAAAGAGCACTTTCCGCTTAATAATTGTGAAAAAAATCATTTTATGAAAACGAAATTTCCCAGAGATATATCGTTCTAAAAAAATTTTCGGTAGGTGTAGATAAACTTTTGCACCGCAGTGTATACTATTAAAGAAAAAAGAGCGGATAAACATTTTGACAGTCCATATCTAACTTGTAATACAATGCAAAGAAATTGTATTTACAGTCGAATCTACTTACATAAAAGTGAGATCCGACTGTAGCAATTTCTAGTAGAAAAACAAAGAATCTGTCCAAAATATATTTAAACTTATATTTACAATATTTACTTGATTAATAAAAATGAAATTATGTAAGTACATGATAAGTACAATAATTAAGTATTTCCAAAAAATATTTTAGTTTACACTTTTAATATACTTTTGTTGAAATTTTTTAAATTTTGGTTAATTTTTCTTAATTTTCTTAATCTTCAATTAACTAGAAATAACCAAAGCAGGAATAACATTAACTACATTATTTTTATTATAATTTTTACAAAATATTTTCTTTAATTCTCTATTGAAAGCTTCTCGATATAAACTACTAAAATTAAAAACAATATTATTTTAAATTAAATTATAACCTAAAAATATAAAGTGTAGGAGTTTCTGCAGAAGCTCCAATATTTGTTAAAATACCTTCAAAAACTTTAACATACCAAGTCTAAAAAATTTTTTCTTTTTTAAATATTTATTTATGATTAATTTACTTGTATATTATTAAGAATTGTAAAAATATTAATAAATGGACGCAAAATAGTGCCACAAACAAAACCGCCAATAACGATTGAAAATATAAGAATGAGAGATTTTAATAGACGAGATTGAATATCAGATTGAGCTCCGTTAATATTAGTTGCTTAAATAAAATTTAATTTTAAATTTAAATTTAAATTACTTGATTGATGGAAACAAACAACTATCCAAACAAGTAAATAAATTATAACATTTAATGAACAAAGGGACATCATAAATAAATGGAGGATATGCATATCCAAAATTAAAAGGTCACTCATATTTCCCGTAACTTTAATTAATGGATATTTATTTGCAAACAAAATAGCATTTATTGACATCCAAATTCCACTAGAAAAAGCTAACAATGTGTGGACAAACAAATAAGGGCGAATTTTTATTTGATCATATTTCATTGGAAATGAAACAGCGAGAAGACGGTCAAAAGCTGTAGAGCAAATTGCTGTTTGTGCTGCTGTTAAACCAAAAATTGAATGTAATTGAAATATTAAAGCTGTGGAATAATTAATAAAATTAATTCCACTAACAGCAACAACAAGAAAAACAAGATGGCATGATTGATGGAGAATTTCAAAGAAAGCAGTTAAAGCCAATAAATAACTCGTTGGCCCTCTCAAATTTCTTTAAATAAATTAATTAGGGAATTTTTTTTAAATAAATAAAAACTTGTTTTTAACGGTAACATAAAGAAGAAATGAATTAAAGGTAATTCCTGGCACCCCAATAATATTCAGTAGGACAGCAGAAATAATTAATATAAAACATGGACCAGCATTTTTATATTGTTCAAACAACTTTTAAAATAAAAAAGTATAATTTTTGTATTTAATATTTTAACAAAATTTTTATTAAATTCTAGAGAAGGATGAAATAATATTTATAAAAAACAAAATCTTTTGAAAATTAAATAAAAATTTGTTTTATTTAAAACAAAAATCCTGACTAGTAAATTAAATTTTAATATTTTTTGTTTTATTCAGAGCTGTAACGAGAAAAGGTAAAGTTGAAGTACAAAAAGTATAAAATTTATAAGTACACTGCTCCACATAACTATAACCTCACACTAAATTTTCGAATTTTTTGACTTAGCCGAATCAATCGGGCTGATTTTTATTTTATATTAATTAAAACGGGTAACAATTCATATAAACCCAAAAAAATCGAAATTATTCAAATATAAGTTTTTTTTCAAATATTCATCAGAAATCAGAAAACAATTTTCAGGCATCAGAAAATAATTTTGAGAATTTTAAAGTTAAATTTAATCTTTCAAACAAAAAGCCTTTTGTAAGTACGTATTTACACATAAGTACTTTACTTCCAAAATAAATACGATAGCACCCCTAGTTTTATTGAATACAAATTTTTTTATTTTTAAATTTAATAAAAAATACTAACAATATGAACTTCATAATTATTTAATAAAGTTGTTTGATTTATTGAAGAATCAATGTAAATATTCATTCAGATAAATTATTTAAATAAAAGTAAGGAGGGGGTTGATTGAATTGAGGGAGTTTTTTGAATTATAAGTTGGATACTTAAAATTCGATCTATTTGTCGAAAATTCCCCAAAAACTCCTAAAATCGAATATTTTTATTAGAATCTAAAGAGTAAATTTTCGTATCTAATAATTATATTTAAATACTTTTAAGTAATTTGTAATTAAATTAACTTTGGAATTAGCAATTAATTATTTAATTTTATTTAATTTTAATAAAATTATTTCTTGCAGATAGGTTGACATTTAACTTTCACCTGCCCTTAATTGTCTATCAAATAAAGGGCAAATGCTAGTATGCATAATAATCTAATTATTAATGCCAAATTAGAAAAAATTCGAATAAAAAATGAAATTAAATAAAAAAAAAATATATTTAAATACTTTTTTATAAACAATTAAATGAAATCAGAATAATGAATAGTTAATTAATACTTTTTCAAAATATTTAATTAAATAAAATCATCAGAAATTGTAATTAGAGATCGGACTGAGATGAAATATCGGTCAAAAATCTTAGTTATCGAGATCGAAATTTAAACGAGATAACAATCTCGATTCTCTCGGTCCCGTCCCTAATTGTAATGTGCAAATTAATCAAAAAAGGATTTAAAATACAAAAAAATTTTTTTTTAAATAATTCGTTAAAAATATTTTCAATATTTTATATTTTTTGTTAAAGAATTATTTACACAATTTTTAATAATAATTTGTTTATTTAAAATATTTTTATTTGATAATTTATTTCCAATCATTCCCTCCTTGGTACTATTATTATTGTGAATATAAGGAATAACAGAAATAACATTATTTTGAGATTTTTTACAAAATAAATATTTTAATTGTTTGTTGATAGATTTGTGATAAACACTACTGAAAATATAAGAATTTTTTTCTAAAATTTTTTTTAAAAGAAAAACCTAAAAATATAAAGTGTTGGAGTTTCGGCAGATGCACCAATATTTAAGAAAAGTCCACCTAATACACTTACATACCAATTCTGAATTTTAATAAAATATTTTTTTATTTTTAAATATTTACCTGAATATCATTTAAATTAAAGAACCGACTAACAATTAAACGACAAACGCTATTAATTACAAAACCCCCAATAACTATTGTAATTATAAGAACGAGAGATTTAAGAAGCCGTGATTGACTGTCTGATTCAACACCGATATCGCTATTCGCTTAAAAAATTTTTTAACTGATAAATTTATAAAAAAAATTTACATGGATAAAAGCAACGAACAACTACCCAAACGAGAACATAAAATATTACATTAAATGCACAAAGAAGCATAATAAATTTAAGCATTATCTCCATATCTAAAACTAACAAATCACCGACACGTCCAGTAACGGGGAGTGTTGGGTATTTGTTGGATAAATTAATAACATTTATTGACATCCAAATTCCACTAGAAAAAGCTAACAATGTGTGGACAAGCAAATAAGGGCGAATATTTAATTGGTTATATTTAATTGGGAACAGAACAGATAAAAGTCTGTCAGCAGCTGTTGAACACATTATAGTCTGAGCTGCTGCTAAACCAAAAATTGAATGTAATTGGAATTTAATAGCTGTGGAATAGTCAATTAAATTAATTCCACTGATTGAGATCGCTAAGAAAAGAAAATGTCCTGATTGATGGAGAATTTCAAAAAGAGCAGTTAAAGCCAATAAATAATTTGTCGGCCCTCTCAAATTTCTTAATTTTTAATTTAAAAAAATCTTTAAAATAAAAATACTTGTCTCGAATTGTTACAAAAATTAAAAGTAAATTTGAGGCAATTCCAGGCACCCCAATAGCATTCAGCAATAAAGAAAGTCCAATAAATGTTGAATTTGGGCCTGCATTTTTATATTGTGTATATAACTAAAAAATAATTTATTTAATAAAAATAATTATTTTAAAATACTCACAACATGATTTGGATAATTATCATTTAAAATATTTAGTGTTTGATTGTTTGAAGGGTCCATGAATATTTTTAATTTAAATAAAAATTAAATAAAATTCTAAAAATGAATTTAAAATAAAAAAGGTAATTAAATCTGTCTTAGAATAAATATGTATGTACAAAAAATTTGTATTTATATTTTAATTAATTAATTAATTATTTTTATTTTTAGAATATTTTTCCAATTTTTGTATTTTTAATTAAAATTAATTCAATGTTTCTTAAAAACTTTTTTTAAATTTTTATTTTTGCTTAAAATTCAAAAATCTCATGCAAAAATATAAAATATAAATTTTTATTTTGTGTCGGTATTTTTCTGTAAAAGACAATTTAATAATTACTTATTTTTATTTTTATATAAACTGACAATGTTAATAAGTAGAATTTAATTTAAAACGAGTCTAAGGGAAAAACTAAAAGAAAATTAAATTCAAAAATTGTCTTTAAATTTTTTAATCTTAATTTTATAATAATCTATTTACTCTTTTGCCGGTCTGATTTTTTTATTTTTTATTCCGACAGCTTTTTTGGTATATAATTTTTTATTTATTAAAATTATTTATTAATTTTGTTAATTAATTATTTTTAAATAATTTTTAAAATTAATTTGTTAACTAATTTTTTTAGATATTAAAGTAAAAACAGGTGGAAATTGAAAATAAAGAAATGTCATTTACAAATTTAGAAAATTAAAAAAAAATGAAAGAAAATTTTTAATAATTTATTTTAATTTCCGTTAATAATTAAATTTTTAATTAAAAATATTTATTTAAATATTCTAACATTATGACTAACAAAATAAATATTTAGGGGAATATAATGAAAATTAGTTGTACATAAGCTTAGAAATTTTGATTTTTAATGCTCATTAATTTGAATGAGCATTCAAGCATTTTTGTAAAGAAAAAGATGCAACTACATATGTACATATTCTGGATTAAAGGCTTAAAATTAAAAAAGAAAAAATGAAAATATCGCCACACATCTATATTTTCTTTCCAGATTTTCATCAGAATAAAGCACCTAACAAAAGCTTCATGAGGGTTACCGGGATAGATTTTAATTGGATATTTTTTTGGAGTTTTATTTTATTTTGAAAACAAAATTCTAAATTTTATTTAGCATTTTCTAAAACTTTATCACAAAAAAAGAAATCCATTAAATTGTCAAATGTTTTTTCCATAATTATTTTATATTTTCGGATTGCTAATATTACATAAACTATTATTCGTGACAATTCTTCCATTTCTGTTTGCCAATTGTGTTCCTCTGTTGACTGGGCCAGGAACGACAGAAATTACATTTTTTTGTGTTTTTTTGCAAAATAATTGTTTTAATTGTTTTTTAATAGCTTCTCGATAAATACTACTAAAAATTAATTTTAAAAATATTTTTCTAAATTCATTCAAAATTTACCTAAAAATATAAAGTGTAGGGGTCTCCGAAGAAGCTCCAATATTTAAAAGAATACTTCCAAATACCCCAACTAACCATTGCTAAAAATAAAAAAATTATTTTTTTAGTTTAAATTCTTTTTTATTTTACTTGAATATCATTTAAATTGAAAAATTGATTAATAACTAAATGAGAAATAGAACACATTACATAACCACCAATAACGATTGAAACGATAAAAATTAATGATTTTAGTAGACGTGATTGGCTGTCTGATTGAGTCACATTATTGGCTAAAATAGGAATAATTTTATAAACGAAATTGGGAAAGTATAGAGGGGAGGTTTAACGAGGCGTTTTCTACCTTTACTAAGAAAACGGTAAGCAATCCAAACAAAAATATATAATATAGAAGTAATTGCGCATAAAAGCATTATGAATTGAAACATAATATTCATTTCATAAACACACAAATCCCCAATATGTCCAGTAACGGGAAGTGTTGGGTATTTATTTGATAAATTAATAGCATTTATTGACATCCAAATTCCACTAGAAAAAGCCAAAATTGTATGGATTGAAAGGTAAAGACGAATATTTATTTTATTGTATTTTAATGGGAACAGAACAGATAAAAGTCTGTCGGCAGCCGTTGAAGCCATGGATGTCTGTGCTGCTGTTACCCCAAAAATTGAATGTAATTGGAATATTAGAGCTGTAGAATAGTCAATTAAATTAATTCCACTAACAGCAACGACCAGAAAAAGAAAATGTCCTGACTGATGAAGAATTTCGAAAAAAGCCGTTAAAGCCAATAAATAAT